TTCATATATTTTCTTCTTTTTTTTTCCAAAGTAATTATCGTTATATATATGTAAAAAGAGTTTTCAGATCGAAGCCTCCCTCCAAAAAAATAAATCCTGAGTCCGTTAGTGCTCACCAGACTGATTAAATAACAATATTTCGGCTAAATTAGTAAAATAGTTCGGCTAGTCAATATTTAATTTAATTATTTAAATCTATTACGGAGACTAAAGTTATTAGAAATTATCATAACCATAGGTTTTCAAACTCACCGTTTTCAAACCGTTACACAAGTTCAAAAAAATATGTTTTAAACAATCCAAATAACAATTCGATGCATTATATATTCTTGGCTTGTCAAGCTTAAAAGTAATTGTAGAAATATCTTCATAGTTTTAATATTTCATTGATTTTTCTTGGAAACATCTAATTTCCATTAAATAATATTAGTAATCACAAATTTACTATGCATTTATAATTCTTTCGTTACATTCGATTATTTTTTATGTTAAATTAAAAAAAATCTATACCACTACAACCAATGGACACTACCAACAAAAAAAATGCGGGCGCACTCAGCCTCTACACAGATTAAAGTGTCTCAAACAACAGTGAATATTATGCCTCAAGTCCGTCTAATTGTAGGAAACTAAAAGTAACCATAAGAAAAAATTAAACAGCTGGCGGGCTCACTAAGCCTCTACAAAGGTTAAAGTGTGCCCGACAGAAATTTCATTTTTTCTTATGCCCTTTTTCGTTGCATACAATTAGACACGGACTTGAGAAATTATATTTACTCTTGTTTGAGACACTTTGATCTTTGTAGAGGCTGAGTGTGCCCAACAGAAATTTCATTTTTTCTTATGCCCCTTTTCGTTTTTTACAATTAGACGGTCTTAAGGCATTATATTTACTCTTGTTTGAGACACTTTGATCTTTGTAGAGGTTGAGTGTGTCCAACAGAAATTTCATTTTTTCTTATGCCCCTTTTCGTTTTTTACTATTAGACGGACTTGCGCCATCATATTTACTGTTGTTTGGTGTCTCTATAAAGGCCGAGTGTGCCCGATTTGGTTTTTGTTTTTTTCCTGCTCATCCTAATTTTATTTTATTGACATAAAAGATCTAAATGTACTAACAATAAGTAAAGTCGAACCATATTAATAAAAATATCCAATGCTGGTCTTAGACATTCCGCGCCATCGGGCAATGATCTCCTCCCTTAAAAAAATAAAATCTAATTCTTAACCTGTTCTGTAAACCTGTACCACTAACAACCCATGAAGGGTCTTGGATTCAGTACCCAATGTGAGGAAGTATTCTTACAAGGACAACGGTTGTGAAGGACCAATATCAAGCTCAACAGACAGTTTTTCCCCCTTAACTAATTATTTAATTCAAAGTACCCACTTTATAGAGGCTGGGTTTGCACCAGGAGGGTCTCCCAGCACCAGGATCGACCCACAGCTGATGAAAAATTACTGGTCATCAGTCGGATTCGAACCTGGGACCTTGAGTTCTGGAAGTCAGGGCTCACCCACTAAGCTTCCCCGCTCCCAACCTGTTTTATATTATGTAATATTTGAATTTTATACCATGCAAAATTTCACTAAAACAGTTGCTTTATTAATAGGCTAAAATTAATTATTTTAATACGTTTCGTATTTTTATTCAATTGTTAGGAAGTGACGAACGCCTCTGGAGATCGGCAGGCGCCCCAAATAGGCGCCCTGGGGCAATTGCCTTGGTTATTCCACTCTACAGCCGGCAATCTAATTAACTATACAATACATTAAAGGCATTTTCACAAAAACGTCTAAGATATTTTTTTTCTTATCAGTCTTATTCTTCGTCTTGCAATAATTAGGCGGTCTTGGTGAACATGAACTATGCAAGAACTTAGAAAAATCTTTTTACTTTAATTCTCCTAATTTAAATTAGTAAATTCTTTCATAATTTATCATTAGCCGTTTTTATGACTATAAACCGCGAGAAAATGTCAATTCGATCAAATAAACCATATTCAAGGAACTTCAGAGAAATTAATTTTAAAAATTTGGCATTAAAGTCGAAGTGATGAGACCAATGCAATGAGAATAAGACCTGATATCAAAACCACAGTCGATTGAAATAACGAGGATAATCAAAATTGTAAGAGCACTATTCTATAAAATTGTGTAAGATGTGTTATCTAAAGTGCAACTACCGATTGGGCGATTTTAATGAAAAAGTTGCTGTAACATCCCTGGTATATCAATACCTCGGTTTCGTCCGACTTTATGTTACCGGTGCTTTTGTTTCTCTGTGTATGTATATGTGAACTAAGGCTTTTCACATACACATAAACACGGACCATTTAGCGAAACTTGGATTCATGGGATTTCAATTGGATTCATGTTATTGGAATTGTTAATTCGAATTCGAAATTGTTCACGATCGATATACGTTCCCATATCTTTAAGTAGGCAAGTAAAAGTAAAATCTCTATAAATTTATTGTCAAGCATATTTTTGACATTATGTTAAAAAAATCGGACACTGGGGATAAATTTATTAACCGATTATGAACTTAATGAAATATTTGATATTCACAAATATTTGATTACGTCGCTAAAAAACATTAATTACATTAATATACATTATATTCCTCGTCCCTTCGAAAGAGAATACCATTATAAAGCAATTTACCAAAGGAACTTGGCCGAGTAAACCCGATATAATTGTGCTACTAACCAGACCAGCACAATACCAACTATAAACACGACATTGGTTTTTGTTTAGGAATATTTATTGTAAATACAAAGGTCAAGAGGAGGGCCCGGATGGTGAGGGGCGAACATTATGTTAAATGATCAAACTCTATTATCAAGTTTCCGGCGACATAAAAAATAAAATAAATTACCAACTACGCCGGAATCGTCGTTAGGTAACTATCTCATCACTGGAAAATATCACTTGGCTACTTTATAGCTCTGTTCATTCGAATGTTTACAAGTCTTGAAAAGTAACTGAAGAACTGATATAGTTATTCACAATAAAAGTTACTTTTCGAAAATAAAATGTACCTATATAAAAGTATAGCAAAGCGCAATATTGTATACGTGGTATTGTATCGGTTTATACCATAATTATATTTTATTGAGAAAAAATCCTTATATTGGTCTATTGAGAAAATAAAGAATAAGTACAATGATTATCAAAGCCTAGACAATAGTATCTACTAGTCAATTGTAGTCTACATCTAATTGCACAAGATACACTATAAGGCTATATAGATTTTGGGCATGTTTGATTATGAAAAAAAATTTTTTAATATCATATAAAGAAGATAATGTAAAAGACGTATTCTCCTAAATTGTATAAATGAGGAATATCTAAGGAATAATGAATGCTAGGTGTGTATCCTCAAGGATAAAGTGGACCATTTGGACGTGTTTAGTAACATCAAAATCGCTATATAGTTTTGTTTTGTATAGCCCCAAAATTATAATGTGAGTGCGCAAACTCATAAGGCCCCCAAGATCGATGTTTTGTATTTATTTAGTACCATGATACGTTTGAATTCCAAAGCAACTGTTTTATATTTTTAAATCTTCGTAAATGTTTGAGGTCCCGTTGGGCCCAAAATATAATTGTTTTATACTTTTTTATCACCGTAGAATAATTAGAAAAGGGTTCCACCTAGAGCTCCGATGATCATTATTTGAAAATTATCTTTTCCCCTTCCTCGCCTTTACGGCCATTTTCGGGGCCGGGGTAGAGAGAAAGGGATTAATGGTTAAAAAGCCCCTCCGGTACCGGAATATGAATTATTATTTTATTATTTCAATTAATTTATTATTTTAGATAATTATTTTACTTTGTAATCTTGGCTTTATCAAGGTTGCCAAGCAACGCGGATTTAACCATCGCGTCAGCCTGCTCGGCAAAAATAATGAGCGGTTTATTTTTAACCAAATATGATATTAATCGAATTTATCAAAACTAATATTATAATAATATTAATATTAGTTTATTATTAATATTAATATTACTAATAAACTAATAAAATCACAATATTATATTTGACGTATATATATATATATACGTCAAATATAATATTGTGATTAATGTATTATTTTAGTTTTGATAAATTATATATATATATATATATATATATATATATATTTAGAAGCTAAAACAAGAATTTCTAATCTCATGTTATCTGCCATAGTCTCATTTATTTTTATATTTTCATGTATTTTTTTTAAGAATCAAAGCTGGTATTAGGTGTTATTGGTCCAAACAAAAATCTTTCGAAATCGTGATATACCAAGATCTCTCAAAATAAGATTTTACAAGACGGTCCTACAACCATTTGTAATATATGGAAGCAAGTCGTAGACACATACTCAACGATGAGGGGCTATTGAACTGACGAAAAACAAAAATCCTACGTAAAATCTATGGCCCAATCGAAGAAGGAAATAAGGCGGATGAAGACGAATCGAGAGCTGAAGAAGAATAATGATCCAGACATTACATCTAACATAAAGAGGAGAGGGATAACATGGTTGGGTCATGTACAAAGAATGGAACAGTGAGCTTCTTACAATGATGATGGAGGGACACCTGGGTGAAAGAAAAAACAGAGGCAGACGTAGAATTCGTTGGCTGGAAGATATCGAAAACGATCTAAGGAGCCTAGGTGTAGTCTGATGGAGAGGGGCAGCCGAAGACATGTCGCTTTGGAGGAAGATAGTAGAGGAAGCCGGGGTTCCAAAAAGGACCATATGGCCTTCGGATGATGATGATGATGATGGTATATATATATATATATATATATATATATATATATATATTGGCATTTCTTCTATTGCAAAGAAGATTTGTGAAATTAATAAAGGAAAACATTTATTTCTTATACACCACACATAACCCTTAATTGTTTTTTTCTATTATTTTTACCTGCATGCTATAGTGCCACATTGATAGACAAGTATTTTATTCTATAGATTTTTTTTAATGTTGTGGGTACTCACGTTTTTCTTCTTCACCTCCTCCAATAAGCCTGGTCCTTTCAGAAAGCATTGCAGATTTAAGGTAAAGATTACCTTAAGGATTTACACGATAATAAAAAATATTCGTTTTAAGTATTTTTTATTTTTATTCTTCTTCTTGTGCTGATGTCAGGGGTTTCTGTTCTTCTACAGCTCCGGTTGACTGATATCTTGCGGGTGGATCATTTGTCACTACTTCTTGGTTAGGTTTACTAACTGGTTTTTCCTCAGGATTTCCTTTCTGAAATAAAATATATATTTCAATTATAGAATATTACTAAATAAAAAACTTGAAGAGTTAATGGAATTTTACTTTATATATATATATATATACATTATTTATTTCCTGATCGGCTTATTGAGCCTTACATGTATTTATTAACAGTAGGTATTTTTTTAACAATTGGTAAAGTGAGATTATATATAATAGAATTCACTTTAAAATGTCTTGCATAAGTCCGGGTTTCAGTCTATGCGGTTTCAGAGTTCCTGTACAGAACGTACCGTACCTTTAACTGCTGGCAACTTGGAATGGTATTTGGTAACGCGGATTTTATAATTTTAATGAATTCTTCTATTGTTTTTATTTGAATTTCACAATGGAATTCACTATTTCATAATAACCAAGGAGCATCCACTGCAATTCTCTAGATCTTATTTTAAAATATTTGTAATTTTTTTTTCGTTTATTGCAGGATGCTTTACCCCACATTTCACAAACGTACATTATTAGTGTCCTTAGCATTTTCTTGTAAATTAGGACGATAATTAAATTAACACTTTATAACTAAATAACTAGGGGAGCGACGCTGGTATATTAAGGGATACAATTGACATTGAACTAGTCTCTATCGTTTCTTTCGGTGATACCCATTGATTTTTTATCTTGGCCTGTGAAAAACAACTTTTCAAATCCTATTATTAGAATATAACTGATCAAACAGTTAGATCTGATTAAAATTATTCTTTAAAAAGATTGGTATGTAATAACCTAAAAATCCGGCTAAAGCAAAGGCAAAAATCAATAAATAAATTTTGTTTGAAATTATATCTTTTTTTGAAGAGAAGAATAGTTGGGGTGCTCAGTCAAAAAGGAAGGCAAAAAATAAATTATAATATTTATTTCTTACATATGCCGACGTTTCGACCTGAAGTTCAGGCCTTCATCAGGGCTTTCTCCTTAAGTGTCAAGGGGAGAATCAGTTATATATCTTTTTTATTATTATTTTTTAAAGATTTAAAGATATATTTTTTAATTATTTATATATCTTTTTTTTTCTTATCGAGTTTTAGGGCGCCTTGGCATAAAGTCGGACATGAGTCAAATATTTTTACTTTCACTTACGTATATGTGTAATATATAGTAGGGGTAAGTATTGCGATCGAGAATATTTTTTAATCTGAGTTTTCAATGGAAATACACGTTTTGGGATACCCTGAGTCCAAATAACCAAGCCCCGAAAAATGGTCTGTGTTTATGTATGTCTGTATGTATGTGAACACTCTAACTCAAAAACGAAATGTGATATTACGTATTTAAGATAGGTACATGCCTTAGATGTGGCAGCAAGCTTTATCTTAAAATTGGCTAACCGGAAGTGCCGCTTTACATCAACGCTGAAATACATTTTCACATTTTTTCAAAAACGGCTCTAACGATATTGATTAAACTCGGTGTATCATTGTATAATTAAGTGGTCTTTAATATCAATTAGGTCTTATCCCCATTGATGTCACTTTACAGGGCTAAATGCCCAATGTTCATATACGTCTTCCTCGTATACGCATGTTTTTCTAAAAGTTTACGGAATTGCCTAAAAAAAAAAAACAATTCTTTGAAATCGGACAATTAGGAGAAAAGATGTGGTCTCTAGTTTTTTTAATATGTTCTGCTGCAAATATCCTTTGTTTTGGTTTTTGAATTTTGAATGTGTTACTTAGGTAATGCTATTTTTTTTATCATATTACTAATGATTATAAAAAAAGTTTAATCCATTAATTTGAATAACCTTTTATTTATTTTTCTTTGTAACTAGGAAGGTAATGTTACTTTAGATGTATGATTGATTGGAAATATAAAACCATTGTGAAATTATTAGCACCTATGTAAAATATTCAGCGAAAAAATCCTAAATATGACTTTTGAAAGAATTTGATAATCGAATAAAGGAGAAAAAAATAAAAATGCTTGTACAGGTCGAAACTAAATCTTCGGAAATACAAATCAGAAGTTATACTTATAATATATCGTTGGGAAGTGAAGAATTTTAGAAAAAACAATATCTAATATAGAAAGTTGTAGAAGGTAACGGAGAGCGGCGAAAAAATTATAATTAATAATTTTTGAAAGCTGATAATATTTTACGTAAATCACATGTTTTCAAGGAAATTAAATGAAATTTACTAACAAAATGTAAACTTTAAAAAATATTATTACGTTTGTAGAAAGTATTTAAAATCCACCTAATCAAGTTAATGGCATTGTTAAAAAAAACTGTTTCATTGTACTTGTGTGAAAGAAGAAGTAAAATATAAAATCATTTCATGGATGTATAAAGCATGTTTTTATAACCTTAAATACATTTACTGTAGTTTAGTGATTATAGATCTGATATAATATTTAAATAATTAGGTATCAACGTTTATTCCAAAAAAATGTCATGTAAGTTTTAAAAAAATTAAATTAGTGAATAATTTCATGAATCTAACCTTTGTGATATTCCAACAGAATCCATTACTATTTCATTGTACTTGTGTGAAAGAAGAAGTGAAATATAAAAATATTTCATAGATACGTTTTTAACCTTAAATATATTTAATGTAGTTTAATAATTCTCGATCTAATAATATATTTAAATATTTAGGTATCTATCGTCCGTTTACTCCGAAAAATCATCATGTAACCTTTTAGAAAATTAAATTAGTGAATAACTTGATAAATTTTACTCTTTACGATATTACAACAGAATCCACTTACAATTAGTGTGACAACTTTTGACCTGTCTATGACAGACAATGCAAATCTCTTAATTCCGTTTCAATAAACTTTGAAATGGAAAACAACAGTTTAATAACTAATAGCCGTACAATCCATAATCAACCGATGATATAATAAATAGGATTTTGGTTATTTTAATAGTATTTATGATTTGTTAGCTGCAATCTTTTAGCTTTAGCTCAGTTAAAAATGCAATTAAAACATTTTTATAAAAGTCAACAAGGCCAGAAAATAATCTCTATTCAAAGTTGAGCAAAATTCAAAGAACTAGTGAAAGATGTGTGTAGCGCGCACAAGATTTTTCAATCTAGTATCACCAAAAAAAGTTTCATTAAAATCAGTGACCCCACGTCCACAACCTTCCCTTGTCAGTTCTCTCCTTTCTCCCTCCCCATAAAACTTCTATAGAATGAGGGGAAATATTTTAAAATTCTTAAAGATTTAAATTAAAAGTCTAATTTAAGACATTCCTTCCCAAAAATATGTAAAACAGTAATATATAATTTTTTCATGGAATTGATCTAAAGATAATTGCGGGTATATTTTTTTTCTATAAAAATACGCATTAGTAATTTTCTCTTAAACAGTTGCGAATTTGATTCCCAGACGAATGTTAAAATTGAAACTGGGCTGTCATATGCATCATTAACTAACTATTCTTCTTTTATTATTCAAAACTTGTTAAGAAAAGCAGAATTTAATGTTATTCGCTTTAAATGCGGAATATATTATTAACATTCACGTCCAGTCTTCAAACACTAACCTTTATTTGTAAATAAACGAGGCGACAATAGCTTACTTTAAGTAAGTCGAGGTTGAATTTAGCTTATTTTAAAAGATTAGGCAACATTCATTATTTTACTGTATGGAAGTAAACATACTGTAATAACACTGTATGAAATGAAAGGCTAGGTTAATCTATATAGTGGCTCTAAAGATTTTGATCGAAACTTTAATGCTTTAATAAATAGTAGGTCATTAAGTACTCTTTTAACGATCTTAAGTGCTTAAGAAACTCCTAAGTTTGATTTATATTTAGCAGATGAAATAAATAATAATATTGCTCAATCAACAACATATTTATTTGAAATTTAAAAGCAGTAATTAATTCAATTAAGTTACAGTAATAGAAACAGAAAGGAGAAAGAGGTGTGGTTTAATGGCAGGATTTGCAATGTTAAAAGATTTTAAGATAAAATTCTGTAATTTATATTCCATTACGATTGCTGGTCTCCACTAGATATTGCAAATTGAAAACCCTATTAATTAAGTTAAATAGGGTTATTATTACTTAATGATAACCATGCTGTTAATTAAAAAGAGGCCTTTGGGTTAAAAACAATCTAGTAAAAAAATTATTCAATATTAACATGAATGGAAAAAACACCGTTAATCCTTAATACGAAAAGGACAGACTTCGAAGGAACGATTTGTAATTTGAATTTAAAGTTATTTAACTTTTTATGAGTTAATCATATATAAGTTATTTTGTTAATATACATTGATTGTTAATAGTTAATATAAGTTAATGAATTTAAAGTTATTTAATTTAACACTCAGCGCCCACAGGATTTAGTAACGCGGTCAAATGAAAGAAGAGCTAATGAAAATCTGCTTTGCCCTTTCATAAGTGGGTAAGCTAGCTTAGTCCGGAGTTCTTCAGTCTAATTCAAGTATAAGTAATTAAATAAGTATAGCGTTCAATATGTTTTATTTTATTATAACAATTTAATTTTCTTTCTTATTATTATTCAATTTATCTATATATGTCAGCAGTAAATCGATACATATATCAATATTACGTTTGTCACATTTATTAAAATTTTAAACACGTTAAAAAGGCTGTTAGGACATTAGTGTATTATGATCTTGATATTGTGGATGATTTATTTATGGTAAAGATAATTAATCTACATGAAAGATAGCTTTATTTAATCGTATACATTTATGTTTAATTACTTTTTTATTTTAAAACACGCTAAATGAAGACTAATAAACTAAATTAAAGACCTACTTCACATTTAAATAGACCATTATTTGGAATTAAATTTGAAATATGTTAATAGAAAAGATGTTGACAATGACTAACGACGGCTATTTTTTATTGAATACTATCGTTTATGTTCGTATCAAAATATAAATTGTGTAAATTATTTAAACTCGGCAGCTGTTGTTACTTTTTTTTTTTTTGGTATGTTCATTAGTAAATGTATTCTATTAAATAATCATTTAAGTACAAAGTGACAAATATAATCACTTACAAATACTTTTGAGATACGCTGTTATGTGGAACTTTCCTACCGCCATGATAACCACACCAAAGGTTTATATTCACTCGATAAGAATATTTGTGTATTTCTATAAGATATACGATAGTAGTTTATTAATACATACTACAGCAGTAAATCAATATTGATCAATAAATTTATAAACTAACCTGATCTGAATAACAAGAATGTTTTTATTAGATTATGATTTAGTAAACAATGACAAGTATTTTTTTTTTTTCATTCATACATCTTTATTCATTTCAACTAGAACGATTTAGTTATATATAATATACCATTAACTTAGAATTTGTGAACCACAATGAAGAATAATAAAAAACTGGTGCGGTGCGGGCATCACACAACTTTCACTTAGCAACATTAGATTAGATAGGTATTTCCATACGTAGGCAAGTTACAAGTGAAAACGACGATATTGCTGCACTTAAAACAATCAATTACTATTTTTTTACCAACCATCGAATTTGTTAAAAGTTATACGTTTACATCGCTTTTCTTCTCCTTTTACAAATGTGACAAATTACAAATAGTACCAAATAATACAAATGATTTTGGGGGGAAGTGGATCTTTGTGGAAAAATTCAGAGTTTTATGGAAAACATTTATCATGAAACTCGTAGAAAAATAACTTGACGTTAATAAATATTGTACATTATCAGTTGATTCTCAACATTTCAAGTGATTTTTTTTTAAATATGGATAAGTGATATATAAAAGTTAAATTAACAATATGAAAGCTCTATACAGAGGGGTATCGGGTATCTATAAACGGAAAGGATCGACCAAGGGTGAAAACGCTCTCGCCTGTTTTCGTATAGCTTCCAACGCTATTTTTCCTTCGGTTAGAAATAAATTTTATTCATTCATTACATTCAACTATTTTTTATATCAGTTTCCATTGTCAAATGATTAATTATAATGATCAAATAAAAAAAAATAAAGGTACTTTAGAGATAGGAATTTTGAAAATTATGCACAGTGTTAGAGAACATCAAAAAGAATAAGACTTACGTTATATTAAAATCTGCTTAATTTTACACACTGATAATATGAATTTAATCAAAATCGTCTAAGCCGGTTTTTATAAAAATGTGTGAAATCGACAATACAAAGTGTCACTTCCGGTTAGCCGGTTTTGACGAAAGAGTTGCTGTGCCATCCAAGGCATCTGCAAACCGTAAATATATAATTTCTGTTTCGCAAGACTTTTCGTTTTTGAGCTGGACTGATTGCATAAACACAGAAACACATAGACACACAAACAGACCATTTTGCGAGACGATGTTATTTGGACACAAGGAACCTTAAAACGTGTATTTTCGTTTAAATCTCGGTTTCGAAAATTTTCACGATTTAAATGTTTTGCTCTGATTATAACTGTCGAAGTTAGATTGCAAGAGGAAGTATCGGGAGGCCTCGAACATTGTGTATCCAAATGAAAAGGGGTAAGAGTAGCTAAATAAATTGAGGGGAAACCAAGATATGAATATCGTCTGTGTTGAAGGGTCAATCAACATAAAAACGATTATCTAGCAAATAATATCAGTGTGAGAACATTGATGGGAAGATAACAACGAACAGAAGATATTTTTCTACAGATTTTGTGAGAAAAGGCTTTCGCTGCACATCCAGGAGCCGAATAAGAGAAATCCCGAGTAATTCTACCCCGATTTTCGAATACTTTAACGTAAACTACATACAGTATAGAATCAAAATCGATAACTATATAAATCAGGATAGGTAGGAACTGAAAATAGTAGCTGATCTAAAATCGTAAAAACAACTCAAAATTCGAGTTATTTCTTACCTTTTCATAATTGACCCATTAGAAATTAGGGTTGGTACTGACGCAAAAAAAGTCACTCTGCCACGTTTGTGGTGTGCTGGCGGTTTTGCAGACAAAATCTGAAATTGAATTTCTGTTCATGCAATCAAAAATCGCTTTATTTCATACTTTTTTGTGGCTCGGCTTATATATATTTTTTTTAAACTCTCTCTATCATACTTGTAGTTACAGACAAAATCCTAAATTTGACTTTCATACAGAAATTCTTTTTTTCGTTAATCGAGAGGGCAAAGATTTATTTTTATCAGTGGCAAAATAAGTTTTAAATGGGACAAAAACGAACTCGAATATTGAGTTTTTAAACTTGATTTTAGGATTTTGTCTGAACAACGCTCTGCATATTACATACCTGGCAGAATGTTTTTTTTTTTTTTATGTCTGTATCAAACCTAGTTTCAAATGGTACAAAAGGGTCATGAAATAACTCAATTATATATATATATATATATATATATATATATATATATATATATATATATGTATATATTAACTGATAGGCCGATCAATTTTATTTATTACAAAATTGGAGTGAAATAAATTGATTTTGTTTTTCCACGGGCTCTTGAACTAATAGGTAGAGTTATCCACCTATTTACCTCCTGGCTTTGAAAAAAGAAGCTCAAAGGGATTTTAATTCTCAAATCTGCAGATTGGATGGATACCTTAAATACATAAACTTAAATAAAACTTATAAATAAGACATAAAACAGAGATGCAGTGCTCGTCTGGATTAGTCATCTAGGAAGATAGTGAGAGAAAAAAGAAACTTGATTTAGACGTCACAACTCTCAGATACAATGGCGATGTATCAAATATGAACGTTGAGAGTTGAAAATTATATATATTTTTTAACTTAAAGTATCAGTAAACCTCTATTTAAAAATTATTTGTTAAGAAATGATGACATATTCCAAATGTATAACTATATATAGAGAGAAATGTACAAGGTGTGAATATGCAAATGTGAATTAACGAAAAATAGATTGCCTTTACATGGCAGGCTCCTCCGTGGTTTAAATCTGCGTTTTGTAGTCGATAAGATTTAGGCTTAGTTTCGGAAATTTCCAGATAGCTGTTGATGATAAATGAAAATCGACCCAAAATTGCAATTGGCGAGACAACGTGGTGTAAGTGCGAGCGGTTATTTTCTTCACCATGATAAAGCCATAAATATTATAAATGAGCTGAATTATGAATTATGGTCGAGAAGGAGGTTTTTAGTCGACGATTCTGGTGTTATAGACTGCTAATTCGAGATATAAAATTCAAGAAAATTGAAGAAACAGTGATTTATTTTACCAAAATGACTAGAAGATTTCCAACTATATTTATTATTGTTCCCCGATCCTCCAAAAGTTGCTGTATTTCATTCATTTCTACTTACTGAAGTCACCTATTTCTTCGTTGTGAAAACGCTATATTTACAACACATAATCTAATTACAACATCTTGCTTTTGTTTCTATCGAAATAACTTAGAAGAAGATGCTCACTATTAAAAGCAAAGAATATTGCAAATGTAAAATGTTCTTGAGTATATTTTCCAGTGTCGTTGATGGAGTTTTAAATAAATTAAACTTTCTGAATATTAAGGAGCCTAATTAACGTTTATCCGGAAATATTACAACGTTGATTAGCATAGACTTGATCGCCCGCGCGGCTTATGGACTAGCCCAGTTGTTAACGCGATTTTGACAACTTGCCTTCCCACCCTGCATCAACCGATTTTGGTAATTTCTTGGATATCCTGTGGATTCCACATCAATAACTATTCAATTAAGTGGTGTACGAAGGAGCATAATTTTCTATTGTAGGTCCAGAACCTGCAATAGGAATATCCAAAAAACATCAGCGGAAATAAGTCCTTGATTAGACCTGACAAAAAGCAGGAAAACAATGGAGAGAATGCACTGGGCTTAGAAAAGCCAAACCATTTATCAAAAGACCCTGCCCCTTCAAAACTAAGTGGCTGCTGGACCTAACTAAAAAAGAAATCCCACTTATCATCGGAGTAATAACAGGTCACCGCAGACTTAAAAGATATTTAAAGGTCTGTGGGGTAGTAAATGATGAACTCGGCAATCTTTGCAGAAACGCACCAGAAACTGCCCTCCACTTCATTGCAGAATGTGACCGATTTGCATTACTCAGATACATACTTCTGGGAGCAGACAGAAGACTGGTATGCAAAGGTACCTCCATAAAATGGTCCAACCTTTTAAACTTCATAAGTAGAACAAAAAGGTTTGAGACAGAGTTGGAGGTACAAGTAGACAACCATTGGTGGTATTGTCTTCGGGGTTGGCAAAAAGGACAAATAGATCCACTTGCTGGACTAAGTCCCCCCACCAGTACCAGTACCTGTAAGTGGTGTACGATTTTTATATTTCAACTTGGCTATTTGAGATGAAAATTAGTTAAGATTTGTTTTAGGTTTTATTCCCAGCCTATTTAAACGCTGTATAATGTCAAAAATTATTTATTTCCTGCACTTGATTAAAAAAGTTTACGAATGTCGTATCTCAATTGTGTCAAAATACTATACGAAAATCGTAAAATTTGGTGGACTTAAAATGGCGGTGCCCTCCACTCAATTGCCCGCCTAGTGTTGAAGTCCCCACTAAAAATTAGTGTAACAAATTCTTTGATTCTCTCGTCTATCGCGATAATTGGAAACAAATATGATAAAATTGTGAACTCTCATTTGTTTAATAACAGTGTGGTCTCACTCATGTTTAAATCTTTATTGTATAGTTTTAAAAATAGAAAAAAATTTTATCACTAGAATTAACTAGCCGTTTTTAAAATCATCCTACAACATGAACCTAAGATTTACTTTATTTGTTTATCAATTTTTATTTTTGTTTGATGAATAAACTAGGTGAAATGTTTAATTTTAAAAAATACTAATTTTTTCAGAAAAAATTGTTTATTTGCTAAGTAAATATTTATTTCCTTTTTTTACCTCAACATTTTCAGCTTAAATAATAATAAATAATAATTTAATTTTAAATAATTATACCTTTAAATATGAGCGGCAGGTTATCCAGAGGAGGAAGAAGATACAGGCGAAAGTGAAGAGGAAGCTAATAACGAATATGATGGATCCCAAGCAGCTGGATCCGACTATGACATAGAGGAAGATGTAAGCGGTGCTGAAGGCGACCAGCGCAATGAACGTCTTCGGGGTGAGCCCTGTTCTCTGCAACAGACGTTCAAGAAAGGATTCTATAGCTATCTATCAGCTAAGGGTTCAGCTGGTGGAAAATTTACCAGAAAGATTAGACAATGTATCATCTATTATCTAACTCTCCCCTTACTACCAGTCTACTTTTAGTAATCTAAACAGTTATTGTAAATAAAGTAAAGATTAAATTAAAATAAAGTGTAAATTTATTTGGAAAGATTAATTAAAGTATTTGTATTTCTTATAATACTATTAAAAAAAATATAAACTTTGAACGAACCTTTCATCTCAGTTTTAATATATTAATCTGGTCAGACAAAGTACATAATAGAATTTCATATTAGAAGAAATAAAATCCAGTATAGTAAAAAAAAAAAAAATTAACACCATTTTAGAAATTTGTCAGAAAGAGGAAGTAGTTATTTCTCGTTAGTAACCTAATTCGGGTGAAGCAAGAGTTCTTACAAAGAAAATAAAGTAGGGGAGCGGTAATCATAGATCATAATGGAGGTGCCTTAATGCAATTTATGCATTAAACAAAGACATTTTGTAATAATATCATACAAGATCACGTTGGTTTGCAATTTTGGAAATTAGTTGACATGATTAAAAAATCGTCTAAACTAATTATTGAAACATATAAAGTGCATAGCAAGTCTGATTAAAGAATCTAAATATATAATCTTTTAGATGCAATAATAAATAGCTTATTTATGTACTTCAATCGATGAAATGAAAAATACTCCACTTTCTTAAAACTATTTCTTTAATAAACATTTTGAAACAAACAGTAACTTGATTAGGATTGAATAAATCCCGGAACCAACATCCAGAGAGCGCCTTTGGATTCTAAATTAATTTATTGAAATTGAAGTGTAATATATAGCTATAAGTTAGTCTTCTCTTAATTACACCAACTTCAATTGATAATAACATTTTTCCACTGATTTGTCTTAGTTTAATTTTCGGGTTATTACATTTTCAATACCTAAAAACTGAAATAGATGAGTTAATAGTCAAGTATTATATTTACAATTTCCTTATTTAAAAACATCACTGGTTATTGGCTCCAGTAACATCAATTTTACTGACAACAACACGACATAGGGATTAATAGAAGAGAAAAAGAAATTTTTGACGAGAAGCAAAGCAACTAGAGGGATAGTAATTGATTAGGATTACGAGGGTAAAGATCACTAATAGCACACTAACATTACTATCTCAATGTTTCTTATTTATGCTCTACAATTATTATTACAATAATAATATATTAGTATATTTACTTGATTTGGAATTTTTGGATAGATTAAATAATTTAAATGTTTTTTCTTAAATCAGATTTCAGACTTCGCCGTCTGACGGCTAGGTTGCCTATGTAAGTTACACCTATGTGAATACGTTTTCCATGATCATTCTCATGAATCAATTAAAAAATCATTATACAATAATCAAAATTCATCAAAATTATTAAGAAACGTTAATCTTTTACTTCCTTGATGCTACTCTTTCTTTAATTTAGTCCTCTAAGATGAAAAAGTACCTCAAAACATGCCTGGATGTGTCCTTTCGGAGGGTCTTGTTTCTTCTGCGGTTCAGCATTATGGTCTACTCCGCCTGTGTTATTCATTTACAAACGATTCGGCAAGCGATTGTAATCAGTAACCTTTATGTTGGTAACATAACCTCAAATGAGGATTATATATACACAATGCACGACACATGAAACAATGCGATGTTACCAGTGATATTAATTCGGTTGTCAGTCATTCACGAAATATAATTCCCGCGGTATAATGAATCTTTTCAGTGAACATCAAAATGCACAGTTGACTATTCTGAATATATTAAAAACAGAAAATGATTTAGAGGAAAAGTAGAGTTCACAACTTAGAAATACAATGTGAAATTGAATGTCATTTTTTCGGAAAAAAATATCCCTTTTATATTTTTCAAAAGGAAAATTTCTCAAAAATTCATTTTTTATTATAACCTCAAATATACCTTACTCGTCATATTCCCAAATCAAGAGTCTACAATGCTATGATAAAAGCGGTATACAATATTTGAACAGGAAACCTGGACATCAACCAGCACTCTAGAAAAAATAATTCAATTAATTGAGAGAAAAGTTCTCTGCACGCTAACTTGAATGATTAGGCAAATTATTTATGCATGGAGAATAAAGACCAATAATGAACTCCTTACGGAAAGCATTAGTCCAAGCGAGACTGAGGTGTGGAACGCTGGTTCAGGCGGCCAAATACCTAAAAGGTCTCTAAACCATCAGAAAAAAAATAAATAAATGTGTAATGTAAGTAACGTCTGAGACTTAAAGGAGTGATAGTAAACTGGATACTACCATTTATGATTTTCAAATCAATTATTTTTCTAACTTGTAGTTTTTCTCATCTCCTTGATTGTATATACTTATAACAAAGTGAACTGACTGGATTTAAATATGGGTTGCATTTGTCTCTGAAAAATTTAACTTGATTCATTGCAATGCCTTAAGCTTTTCGAAAATAAAGTATTGCGTAGAATACTTGATTGTAAGAATGTGAGGATGAAACACCGAATTTCGTTAACTGTTTTAGCGCAATATTACAGAGGTGATAGCATTTCCACGAGTGAAATGGATAGTTGGGAAAGGAGGAATCATTTATAGGCTAATCAGGAATAATCCGACGGATCGAGTCCTAGGATACGACTGAAACGTAGACAGGAGAACTAAGAGATCGTGATCGCGGAGCGTGTTCAAGCTTAAACACTCTCGAGTTTAGCGACGTTGGCCGGATCCAAACGGATTCAATAGTAAATGAAATTTACTTATCTTCCCATTCTGGTAAAAATAGATTTAGTTGAACCTCTAGAACAACCCCCTCTCGCCCCGTGTGCCAGAAATGGAGAGGTGGGAGGCGATCGAAAGAAAAAAAAAAGGTTGGAGTACCGATGAATTCAACTTTATAGGGAGTATTGTAGATAATAGGGACTTGACACTGATAAATTATCAGTGTCAACTTACGAGGTCGCAAAACTCTTTTATATATAATAAAATTCACTACCAACTTAACATGATACTTCCATATTCCGACGAAATTATTATCAGGTAATCCTACCGCCAATAATTAACAATAAATATACCCACCAAATAGAATAATTTCCATACCTTAAGGATTACTTTTAACGCTCTCCACGTTGTCAGTTGAGTTATATATAGCGTGAGGCTGTTCCATACTTTGTTGACTTTTTTCAAATTCTCTTCTTGATTCCTCCAATATTCTTTTCTCCTAAATAAAATCACATTACTGAAGAAAATTTTTCCTAATTGTTTTAAGATAGTTAATATCATTGACAACAAAATTAAAATGAAACCGTGTGAATAAAGTCTAGATTTACTGTTCTCGCTGGTTGTGTGGATACAATGCATTGTTTTCATTCTAAGTATCATGTCGTTGGTAAAACTGTTTTATTATGTAAATAATTTCTAACATTTAAAAAACATTAACCTTTGAAAGAAATTATATTTATGATCCAATATTAGGAATTATATTTTATATCAGAATAAATAAATTAAAAAGTTCTTATTTCTTTTATTAACAGTAAATTGTCTAATTAGTTAAAAAGGAATTACCTCCAGAATAGTGAAGCACCAAACCATAAGAAAAACAGAAAAAAACGTCATTGTTATAGAAAGCACTAAAAGAAGCACAACCTTTATGGGTATTCCCATGTTTAAGGTAATAACCACTAAGCATATTGTGGTTATAGATAGTATAACATGGAGTCGAGTGTTTTCTTTGAACTGAAAAAAAAAAAATAGTCGTGAATTATTATTTTACAATTATAGTTATATTAAGGGTAAAATGACAATAGGTTTGTAGAAATGATCCGCGAAATTGGTGCTAGATATAAACAAAAGTATCTGGAGCCTGGTTTGCACTAGGTAAATGGACACTTCTCCATGCTTTTCAACTTAGCACTAGAAAATTCAAGAGGATCCGGGGCGCGAGGTCGGACACTTGTATAGTGGAAAAAATCCGAAAAAATAGTTCCAAAAACAGCTATTTAAAGCTTTACAACGCAATATTCGGTATATTCCATGGAAACGTCTAGATATACGATTCGAAATCAGTAAAACACCGCTGAATAATTGTATATCTCTCCTCTTCTTAAAACCATAGCAATTAAAAGCAGAATTATAAAAAATGTAGTTTATTTACAACTACACTTGCAGTGGTCGGTTCCTGTTTTCACTTAAATTTCAAAAAATAAATATAGTTTCCTCCAAAAATTTATAACTTTGTCAATTCATGAATATTATTATGCATACGTAAAATGCGCCGCCCACCAAAAGTTAGGTGCCGTTGCTATCTCGAACCGCGTACTTTAATCACCATCGGCGTTTTGATACCGATTAAATTTTCCAATCATTTTTACTAAAAATGTAGTAAAAATCCAAAGATATAAATTCAAGATTTCTTATTTCTTGAAGAAATTCCATTTAGTTTGACTCCTCGATTGTTAATATCCACCGCATCTAATAGCCGGAAATGTAGCTATACTATTGAACTATATATATAGTAAATAGTTGGAACTATGATTAGATTAATTATTAATGAAATACCGTTTTTCTTTCTTCTATGTCACTTCCAGGCATTTTTCAATTTTGAGCCTATAAAATGAAAATAATATATTTTTAATTATTAAAAATACCTTTGAAATCATAGTATTTTATGTTCTTACTAATCCACTTATAAACAATCAGTGTTTTTAACTATTTTTTGGTTTGTAAAATTCACATATTTGTCTTACTTTTCCTTAAATACTCTATTACCCCAAGTTAAAGAAAAAATATTATTGAATCAAAATCGATTTCTGTTTTCTAATTTTTTTTTTTTTTTTATCATACGCACAATTTAATTAATTTAAAACTTATTAAAGATTCGAATTTTTTTTATTTTGTTTTTATGAAGAGCACAATTCCCAGAAATATTTTTTTAGTGATCTAGAAAAGCAGCTTCTAAGAAGAAATCAAGAAGTATACACTATTTTGTTGATTTTCTAATTTTGTACAAAGATGGTAATGCATAAATATGCTGTTCTAAATTGTTTTCATGTTCTACTGCGAAGCTTATATACTTGTTTAGAGTTTTCGATTTTTTGAAAATTTTACATCAGCTGGAGCAATGTTGCCCAGTTCTTCTAAAGAAGACTAAAGGCCCTGGAGCCAGGGCCCAAAAATCGACCTGATCGAAGGCGAAGGTTTGATTGTAAATTACGAAAGTATATGTTGTTCTAAATAAAACGAACCTTGTCTGCCGTTCCAGAGCCGCTGCTTTAAAAAATGGCGGCTGATTTAAAGAATATTAGGCCAGTAATTTGAGGATCGAAACGGGAAATCCATTGCGAAAAATGTGAGAAAAGTTTGTATTTTTTTTAACTTGTATATAAGGAGTTAGACATGTAAAAAACGAAATTACTAACGCGGACCACCAAGGAAAAACTTTTTACAGCCAAAAAAGTCAGATTTTTTCGACATTTTTTTGTTTTTTCACCTATAACTCCTAAACTATGCAACAAAGCGAAAAATGTATTCCTTAATAAATTTAAGAACATTAAATTGTGCGTCGAACGAGTACATAAACCTTATAATTTGGATACGAAGTAAGGTGTAAAACCGCGATCAACTAACGCTGATGTTTACCAAATTTGTCAAAAACTGAGACAAATTACTACAAATGGCCCTGTAACTTGGAAATGAGTTACCTTAGAGGGAAAACCCATATAATCAAAGATGTAGAGCATCAAATTTTGCGTCCATTGAGTACTGATATTTGTATTGTAGGCCAATCACATATCTCGAATCGAGATTCGTTTTTCCTTTATGAAATTCGTTATCTTTAGATACATCGTTCACCAAAATCCTTTGCTGTTGTGAGGTGGAAAAAAGGGTTATACTGCATGTAACAGACTCTTAACAAAAATAACCAAGTAGAATAGACATCCATACTGTTGAAATATTGAAAATCACGTTTATCTTCATTACGAATTTCTAGCCATTGGGGGATTATCTATTTTGTTTGGAGCAGTAACCTACATTAAATTATTTGGTATTCTCTGGATGCAAAATTTGATGCTCTACAACTTTGATTCTATGGGTTTTCCCTCTAAAATAACTCGTTTCCAAGGTGCAGGATCATATATAGTAATTTGTCTCAGTTTTTGACAAATTTGGTGAAAATCAGCATTGGTTGATCACGGTTTTACACCTTACTTCGAATCCAAATTATAAGGTTTATGTAATCGTTCGACGCACAATTTAATGTTCTTCAATTTATTAAGGAATACATTTTTCGCTTTGTTGCATAGTTTAGGAGTTATAGGCGAAAAAACAAAAAAATGTCGAAAAAATCTAACGTTTTTGGCTGTAAAAAGTTTTCCCTTGGTGGTCCGTGTTAGTAATTTCGTTTTTTACATGCCTAAATCCAAATATACAAGTTAAAAAAATAAAAACTTTTCTCACATTTTTCTCAATGGATTTCTCGCTTCGATCCTCAAATTACCGGCCTAATAATCTTTAAATCAGCCGCCATATTTTAAAGCAGCGGCTCTGGAACGGCAGACTAAGTTCTTTGTACTCAGAATAACGTATACTTTCGTAATTTACATTCAAACCTTCGCCTGCGATCAGGTCGATTTTTCCAGGCTCCAGGGCTAATTAGCCTACAACTTAACAAGGGACGACGGCGTCTTGTGGCTGATGATCTAAGAGCTCTATCCCACGTTATGACATCTTCGCGGTTCAAGAACCAGGTTGTTATAGGAACATGGTCACGGGGTATGGCCACACGTCAAGGGTTATAGCCCTGAGCAGTGGAGATGGGAGGCCCAGGGCTACTATAGTTATTAACAACCCAACCTTGACGTGATGGAAATGAGGTAGTATACCATGGCGGAGCGTGCGGTATGTTACATCAGGTGGGGTAGGATTGATGTTACACTGATATCTGCGTATATGCACGACAGAAGAGATGTTGAAGTGGACATATTCACCATGGAAACGATCTTACAATGTACAAGGAATGTAATTGTATGCTCAGATGCCAACTCCTGCAACACGGTCTGGAGATCCAATCGAACAGAAAGAAGAGACGTCAAGCTAGGTTAATTTATTGCTAGAAACTAATTTGAGGTGACAAATGGTACGTCTGCTACACCTACCTTCTCTGGAGGTAGAGGGCAGAGCTGGATAGATATCACTCACGCTTCACGGACGCTATCTAGGTGCATCTTCGATTGAACGCTCAGATCTGAGACGAGTTCGGACCACAATGCGAGTGCATTTGGCGTGGTAGATGATCCAGGATGATCCTATGACAGCGAGAAGGGTTATAAGACCAGAAGAAGAGAATGGAATGTCTTTTGGTGCATGATTGAGGGTGAAATGTTTGACGAATACTGAGAAGTTGCGGACTCTGAAAACACCGATGATCTAGACTACAGGATGTCAAGGATTATCGATGCCATCCGCGATGCAGCCGATAACTCTCTCCAGCACCGGAAGACGAGATCTCGACCTGTCCCGTGTAGGATGCGGCCTTAACGACTATGAAGAGAGACCTCGACAAGACTAGGCGGTCGTAAAAGAGCTGCAGATGCGACGAGAGTACGCACTGCACTTCGTAACGATTATAAGTCCATGGCCAGGGTATACCGAAATGAGGTTCGTTCACGAAATTCTTGGGACGATTTTATCGTCGAAGAATCTTCAAAGAATCCTTGGGGTATTCAGTACAAGGTGGCTCTGGACAAGTTGACTCCGCTGCAAACAGTCATACCATCCCACTACTGCAAAACCCGGACTATACGAGCCCATTAGGCAAGACAGGGTAGAATATAAATAAATAATAAATAATTGGTATTAGCATTTACAACACTAAAGATCAAAAAGATTTATTATGATGGGTTAAAAAAAGAAAAAGATAAAAAGTTCTTAGAACAGTTAAATAAATAAATATAGTCAATGATCATCGGTGGTTCCAAGGTATTGAAGAGATTTTGTTTTCTTTTGGCATAAGTAACTTGACAACGCTTTCCCTGGCCGGGATTAAGCAGCCACTTTTTTCAACTCTTAAGCAGCTTTGCAGCCAGTGCCCTACAGCCCGTACGAACATAGCTTCGTAGGTTAATTGTATCAAATATAGCCATAAGTAGCCAGCAAGTAGAAAATATTGTAAATAAACTAGTCCCTTTAGGAGATCCCACTTCATAGAAATTAATAAAGAAAAAATTCTCTTTATCTAATCCAAAAAAAAAATTCTAGATATTTTTTTTTCTCTTAAATATTGCATCCATTTCTCGCCAATTTCAAGAGAAAATCTAATGATGGAACCTTTGAACTCGCTAACTGTGTATTCAGAGAGGTCATTTGTATCAAATCTTTTTGCAACAAGTTCTAGATGTGAGTCATGATGTTTACTTTCGTAAGTTGTTAGCCACATGCATAAAAAAATCCTTACACGCTATTTTCTAAAAATATCTGGAATGAAATGAAATCATAAATCACTGGGAATAAAAAAGAAACTTCAATAATCTTGATTGTTTTTGGATATAAGTATTTTTTGTATATATATATATATATATGTTATAGAAACATACTTTTTTCGGATAATAATAGGAAATGCATTAATTTTATAACCATCATATTACGAAAATGACACCAAGATGTTGAAGGTTTGTAATACTTGTTGAAATTATATCCATGATAAATGGGAGTCACTACCATAAAGACTTGTTAGCATTATTTAAACGTGTTTCCCAAACAATGCTCAGCGTTTATTAAAGACCATAAGGTGAAAACATAAGCCTTTTCGAGGCCAGTGACTCCTAAATGATAATCCCTTGCTGAAAATTTAATTATTTCGATATGAGTTTTATCTCTCTAATCGGGACTTTGACCCACTCTGCGCCGACCTGAATGGGTTTCCGCCGCCAGTTTGAAAAATCATAACAAATTACAAAGCTTATGTGATAAATTGTTTTTAGCCTATATATAAAGGAACTGGATTTGAGACGTGTTGAATGAAATACAATATTAATATTAAATAATATACAATGTCATCTACATATGTCATTTTCTCGTTATAAATTCCATTATTATTTTGGATTGAGGAGGATAGAGCACTCAGGAAGTAATTTCCAGGTGGCGCCAACTCTAAAGCCGTTACTACTCGTATGGAGTTGTTACAAATTTGTAACAAAATAGTGACAATTATAATGATGACATTTATACGTGAAAATTATAACACAACCGAAAAGAATGAAAATTAGTAACTAATGAAATTAGTAGGATTCCTAGCAATAAATAGATACTTATTATATCCATTAGAAGCTGGTCCCGAATCCTAACGCATTAAACAATTAAGGGTTCTTATAATTCATAGCAACGGTGCAATGCTCAAATGCCATATCTGACAATGTGCGCCACTTCGAATATTGAAATGACGGTTGTGTTTCAATCATAGCTGATTTCTTTCTTAAATCTGTCATAATACATTGAATTCAGTTTGCCTCACTCGTGCTGTTATTATTATTCAACGTTGTTACAAAATTCATAAAAGAATATGGCATACTATTGAATATAAAATACACATACACATACACAAAAAAATAGTAAATTGTGCAGATAGGCTACTTTGGCATTAGACCGATGATATGTAACAATACAAGTATAAACATATATTTACAAAAATTGTAATCATATTTAATATTATAAGTAAATATTTGTAAATAGATGTTACTTTAGTCTTCTGAAGAGTAATTATTCTTGCTGTTAAATTCACATTTCGTTAACCTCCTCAGGCAGTTCCTTGATAACAGTACTACATTTTCGCTGATACTGTATAAAAATAGTTCATTGGTTCTTAATAAAACCATTTTTTTTTTCTTTCTTTGTTAGCTTTGCTAATTATTTTATGATAATGATCACGTTTACGAAATTATCACTTTTTTGGCGGACTGAGTATTTCATTAATTTTTAAATATCTAGTACTTTATGATTGATTTATTTTATTAATTATGGATGTCCATTAACATTCCTACATGACCAATGAGTCATACCACATGGTGAAACGATGCCGGCCCGTTGCCATAGTTTCCATTCAACATTACTTTTTTGTACCAACTTATATTATTCATTGTGCAGGAGATTATTAAGTTAAAGTATGAGTGGAGTGAAACATGATGTGAAATTTCTCAAACTGAAATCCATCATTGGCTTTGACGGTGAGTGGTTATTAACTGCAATATTGTACAACGTAAGTATTGAGGAATATTTGAATCAGCTATTTGCTAATAAAAGAGTGGTCGTATCTAAACATGTATGATTAATTTTTGAAAGAGGCACTCCAAATAAATCATTGACCAAACTCCAAATGTATAATTTTTATGTAATTAGAAAGTAAAATAATAATTAGAATTTCTATCAATATTAATAAATGTGGCTAAAACACTATGACCTTTTTTTAATTTTAAGTCCCATTTCTCTTTTTGTCTCAAAACTAAGATGGCCTTTCTAAAATTATACTTCGACAAAATTCCGCACCTTTCTATTGAATAGATCTGTTACCTAAGGCCAGATACTGGCGAAAATAACATAGAATTATCATAAATGACTAAAACAACTGACCTGATTCTCATTCTGAACATATTTATTGGACTAACGTACAGAAATTCCTATGAATTCAAAAAGTGCATTTACGCCACTATTATCAGTACTGCACAGAAAGACGAAGTTGAATTTACTGGCACCACTAAACCATCGAATGCGTACCGCATCAAATATTTATAACACAAAATCCTCAATAATCCTTGCTATTTAACAAATAAAACTATCCATAATGATTTTATGCCCTCTATTTTGTAGATTAGGGTCGAAGTAGAAATATATCCTTACATTGGAAACTCATAATATTCGTGTATACGTTTGCAAGAAGATGGTTTCCTAACAGTACTGATCGGAATTTACTACTTATAATTGTCACTAACATGTAATATGAGCCAGCATATTTACTTGTATTATTTCCAATACAATTTAAAATAATACAAAATTTCATTAAAAGAGGATCTAATAAGCAAACCACTTAAAAACATTTGGGGACCATATTACGCCCTTTCCCATCCATATTGGAAACTTTAATGGTCGACTGAGCAGTGGTTTTTAGTTCTTATTTTTTTTTTCATAAGTATATAAATTATTATTTAGGTGTGAAAACAATTAGTCTTCTTCTTTTTATAACATGTAAACACTTTAAACTGAAAACTAGAGTGTATTGTGTCATAAGTCATACCTGTCTTAAAAATAAATGTTAAATTAATGCTTCACTGATTCTAATGAACACTAAGATGAAGAGAATATAAATTCTACTAGCAACAAGTTGTCCACAATTGTGAAAAAAACTAATTAGTCGCCAATATTTCAGATAATTATTTCTTAAATATGTGTCCATACTACATTACTAATAAAACCATTAATTTAACCATTAAGTATTAATATTAATCATGAGCATAATAATTAATAAGCTCAGATGTGGAATCGAAGTTGAGGGATGCACATTTTTTTTTTTTAAATTGTCTGTAAATCTATCTATTCATAGAGTGTGGTTTATCTGGTGAAAAATGCTGAACAAAAATAAATAAATAAAAAGGAAAAAATAGTATCAGATTTAAGGTATAAATGGAGAGAGCGAAACTTTGAACTTAATTTATTTTCATTTTATTTATAGATCTACATGTGTTAATCACAATCATTGGTTTTGAAAATGGTTATTAACAATAAAGATAAATGAAAGGTGGGTTTTAATTGCCCAAAGGTAAGGTTTTACCACCTATGTTTTTAAAATTAATTTTTGATAAAATCTAGTAAAAGTGACAACGTGACATTATTCAAGCTGAGAGGTGACAGAAAGAACTTAGAGAGGATATGTATTTTAAAAAATAAATAAATATAAAAATGGCCCTTAGTATGGTCGAAAGGTTGTAATTAATAGCTTATCAATAATATGTTGGCGATAATTGGCCTAATTTATGTAAAAAATAAAACCTCAAGACACCAATTTTAGAGAAAATGAACAGAATAAATAAATATATTTTTTATAATATCACAATTAATACCTAAAAGTGAAAGTGAAAATTATCTCCATACCTTAATGAAATAATTACCAAATTCCTGAATTCTGAAATTCAGTAACAAGCACCCAACAAAGGAGTATTGAAAGATTTGAGAGAAAAATCCTCCACAACATAATCAGAGCGATCTGAGTTCATATTACTAATGCATGGGGGAGAAGGACCAATTAAGAACTGTTTAAAGAATGAGGTTAAGATGGGCAGGCATATAGCTGGTAGCAATCTATCAGGACGCCTCTACACAACAATGAATGTCCCAATAGTAAGTAAGAGACCACATGGGAGATCAAATCAAAGATTGATATATCAAATCAGCCAAAACATGGGTACCAGAAAGGGGTTTCATGGCTTAGATCGCGCCATCAAAATTTTTGAGGAGGCACATTTTGATAAGATTTTAAATTTTTGAAGGGAGGAACATTTCAACAGGGTTATGAATTGAAGGAAAAGTTTCAAACCAGGGAACTCGGGAAAAACATGGACCAGACCACAACAAGTATAATGGTATATAATTTCTAATTCTACTTTCACTTGCACTGTTTTTACGAAAAATAGAGCAATAACATTTCTTGGGAGTGGGGTGGGGAAGGAGTTCATGTGCCATCAATCTAGGAGAGGAGGGGTTGGCAACTCGGAACAAAGATACTACAAAGTTGCATCCAGGAAACTGAAAACCAATAGTCAGAAATAGACACAGGTAAAGAAGCCTGCTCCAGGCTTCCAAAAATCTACAAGATCTGTAGTGCCAACAAAAACATGTGAGCTTAAATGCTTTAATTATGTTTTCCAATGATAAACTATTTCATAATTTCACTCTTTATGCAGGTATTTTTTTCTACCAAAGCTACCCTAGAAAATGTCATAAAAACTTGTTCAATATTTTTTCTTTAGAAATGTATATCCTCAAACAATAATCTGTTAACTCAAAAAACCTTAAATTCTCATAGCAAAAATAATTAATAATCTTATGTATTTCAAATTGCAGGGAATGCTCCAAAAAGCTTATGGGTCCACCCTGATGGAGAGCACATTGTCTATCCATTTGGAATTAAAGTTGCAGTATACGATCTTAAACGGCATGAGCCTGAATATTTGGATGGACATTCAAATGTTATTTCAACTGTAGCCCTCTCCAAGACAGGAAAATATGTTGGATCCGGGCAGATAAACCACATGGGTTTCAAGGTAAGAATGATATGTTTATTCTACAGGGTGTCCGTAAGTAGAGAGAAATATTTAAATGATTAATAGATGATATCAAGATCTACAAAAAAGTTTATATAAACAATTGCCCAATTTCCAGCAGAAAAGTAGGAAATTTAAGATTTGTGTTTTTTATGCTACGCGTATTTTGCTGAATAGGAAGCGATAAAATATGAAATATTTGATTTAAGTAACTAAACATTACTGCATAGTAAACTAGACAAAATTTACTTTAAATAAAAATTAATTTTGTCATTGTTAAAACTATTTAAAGAGGACTATTGAGCAGACAAACACAGCTAAGTTTCGTTTAAAAAAAGAAATAAATTATTTTTGATTTTTTTTTTTATCGCTCATTACGTGTACTAAATTTGCCCCACTTTTACAAAAACTTCCTCGTTTAATAAGCTGAAGTACATATTAATTGAGGTTTATTAGAAAAAATTTTGAGTTGCCTCAAGTTGTGTAAAGAAATGATATGATTTCCTATCCAGTTTCTTTAAAGTACCCATGTTTCCTGCAAAAATTACTACAATTAACTGTTGCAAAGCTTTTATTTCTTGTATTTTTTGGAATATGAGATGTATTCTAATGACACACAATGATGATGAAATCGCTAAATGTGCAGAGAGAATGAGTGTTGATCAGAGCCACAGAAGTGTGAGAGCTCTATGACAATCGCTGAGAGAGAACTCTTTTGAAGAATGGGCCTGATGCAGATGGCAAGGTGTTGGAGTAAGATATTTTAAAGATACCCGCAAACTAATAAATATATATCCCAGAAACAAGGACTTTCGGGGTGAGAATGGTCCAATGCCTGAAAACTCAATATAAACTATGCACCTTTGCGTGAATTCCCAGGAGCCAGAGGACAGTCGAAGGAAGTTGGATCCCTCTGTCGCAAATGCGGCAGAGAGCCTGAAACACCAGCCCATGAGCTGGGAAAATACCCCAACATCGCTCTCCTCATAACATGCTTGTACCATAGGGTCAAGTACGAGTTGATGATGCTCCTTAGAAAAAAAGAATTCACCTGCTTTAATGAGGTCTATTGCGAAGGCTCTACATGATATGCAGATATAGTTGCATTTCCCAAGACCGGAGGGAAAGTGCTGATCTTGGACCCTCCTGTCCGCTTTGAGAGCAATGACCTTGATCAGACCTCGAAGTGGAAAGGGAAAAGAGGAATATTTATGATAAATATATCCCTTTCCTAAAAGAGAAATTCCACGAAACCTTCGGAGAGAGTACACCGTGAGAGGCCTCTGGTTTGGGGCATGTGGAACGATTCCAAAAAGAACAAGGAGCTTCCTCGAGGAACTAGGTGTTTATGTTGGGGAGGATATTGGCTGAGAATATTATCCTGGACTCCCTGGGAATCCACTAACACTTGTATAGCAATTTACCATGAATTGAGGATGTCTTTAATCATTTATTTATTCAATTTTAAATTGTTAGCATTGTCTTGTCTTTTTGTCTATTTTTGTGTGATTTTGTGCTGGATTCTTATAATTCGAATTTTGTTTGTGTATGTTATGCAATTTTGATGGCTTAGTGTAGTTTATAAGTGTATTTTATTAGGCTTGGTGTAGTTATTAGTTTATATTTTATAAGACTAGTATTATGATGAGGGAGAAAAAGAAGGAAAGATATATATATGTAGTAGTAGAATAATGTAATGTATAAATTATGTCCGAATGGATTGACCAGCATGCTGTGTGTAAAGCAATCCTATGTAGTAGAGCAGCACCACTTTCAATGAAGTATTTCTCTCTCATAATTGTGTAAAAATACATTTTATTTAAAATAAAAAAATTAAACATTTTCAATGATTTTTCAAATATTTTTTATGTAAGGTGGTCATAAAATTGTGTATTTCTCCCAGATTTCTGGCATAGGAATTACCAGTAGAAAATGGGCAGTAACCATTTTCAAACCATTAATCATGCTGTTGATAGTTAATTATCTATTTATCCTACTCCAGGAAGTATATGTTAACAATATTTTTAATTAAATTTATATTGTCTAATTTCTGATTGTCTTATTATTATCTTTTTTGATAAGGCCGCTACTATGTCACAGAGGCCACATGCGGTCTCCGAGGCCCTGGTTTTCACCTATGGCCTAGCCCAAAGTCCTGTGGAACTGATATTACATATTTCAGTTATTTATGTGCTTAGGATGTTGCAGCAATGTGTTGTTCAAAATGTGCTTACTAGATTTTATATCTTAGATTATCTTTATATCTTAGAGTTTACACATTTTTACAATTTATCAAAAACAGCTTTAATGATTATTAATCTCTTTGTGTCAATGTATGATAAAGTGGATTTTAATATAAGGTATATATTATCTTCATTGATATAGTCTGACAGAGCTTTAACACCAAATTTTCAAAATGGCTTCTTCTAAAGTACCTAACTATTGGAAGATAAGGAGAAATATTTTTCAATGAGAAAACAACTTACAGGAAGTAAGTATATATGTAATTTACAGGGTGTCCCGTGTGTAGAGAGAAATATTTAAAAGGTTGATAGTAGATATCAAGATCTACAAAAAAGTTCATATAAACAATTGCTCAATTTCCAGCAGAAAAGTAGGAAATTTAAGATATAAAATCTAGTAAACACATTTTGAACAACACATTGCTGCAACATCCTAAGCACATAAATAACTGAAATATGTAATATCAGTTCCACAGGACTTTGGGCTAGGCCATAAGTGAAAACCAGGGCCTCGGAGACCGCATGTGGCCTCTGTGACATAGTAGTGGCCTCATCAAAAAAGATAATAATTAAGACAATCAGAAATTAGACAATATAAATTTAATTTAAAAAAATTGTTAACATATACTTCCTGGAGTAGGATAAATAGATAATTAACTATCGACAGCATGATTAATGGTTTGAAAATGGGCAGTAATAAGATGCCAAAACAGTATAATAAAATAATCTTTAAAATTGTATTTATTGTTTAAAATTTTGTATTAATAAAATGTGTGTGAGAATATCAAAGTCGTTTTATAACTTAATATATTTTAATATAATTAATTTGGACTTGATCCTATTACCAACGAGAAAACAACACATTTGATTCTTAAGTCCTACATTTTTTTTTCTTTCACCAATGTTTCATCACTTCGGGCCATTTTCACTAGGAAAAGACCTTATTTTAAAAATTAAACAATTTTGATTCATTTACCTGTGTCAAATTTTAATCTATTTTAATTAATATTGAAAACTACTTATTCAGTTTATATTGTTTGTATGAGGCTTCTCACAATAATCTCTACACACTACTTTCTAACCTTTCATCTATTCTCAATAATCTTAAGCAAACTTACCACAGTGATTGGTTTGTTGATTTTTTGACAATTATTTTATAAAATTTCACTAGAACTTGAAAATAAATTATTTTTGGTTACAAATAAACGCCCACCATAATTAGCTCAAGAATTATTGTTAATCAAATAGTCACTTATTCCTTAACTGTTGAAATAAATGATAATACTTTAAGATATTTTGCATCATATTGGTTATTACCTTAAAGCAATAAGTGACTAATGATCCTTGTATTTACTGCTATAAGAGAACATTTAACATAGTCTGTTATATCCATAATTTGAATTTTTTTTTTAAATATATACATATATTCACATACCTACATACATTTTAAATTTTAGGCTTTAGTCTTTGTGTGGGATTGGGAAACTAAAAAGCCAGTTCTCTTCCATGAATCTCACAAAGTTCGAGTAGAAAGTGTGGCATTTTCCTCTTGTGAAAACTATGTTATTTCCCTAGGAGGAAGAGATGATGCAAATGTTGTTGTATATGATTTAAATACAAGTGAAGCAATTTGTGGTTCGTATAATGAGATAAAAATACAATAAAATTTCTATCTCAATGTAATTATTTTAGTCATCTTTTGTTGATTTATATGACAGGTAAACGTGTATTTACTTATTTATTTATTCCCTATCTTGCCTTCTGGCAACAGGGATGTTGTAAACATATGGAAAGTAGGAAGTATCCATATGTTGTCCATTAACACTTTAATTTTATTTTCTTCATAAGTGTCAATCAAAAATTAAAATATATGCAATGAAATAGCTTAGTATGCAATTATTTTGTAAAGGTAATGTAATAATTAGTTTCTGACAGTAACATAAAGTAATTTTTTTTAAATCTATTGCAATATTAAAATAATAATAAATAATGAGATTTTAAAGTAAAAATAAAACACAAAACAAATTTGAGGTGTGTAAGAAGTATTTCTTATCATTTAGAAATGATATATTTTTTTAGTTCTTATGAGAAAAATGATGCAAAATTCAATGATCTCAAACTTATATTGCTTTTTTCCTCAGTGTTTTAACTGAAGCTGGATTCCTATTAATATTTTTAAAAATGTTTACAAAAGAATATTTTGAGATTATAAATATGCATACTATTTAAAGGTACATTTTCATCAAACAGAAATGCTGGAGATGCCCTCACTTTGGCAGCTTTGAATTTAAGAGGGATATGTTTCTTATCTGGTGGAGTATACACTCTCAAAGTGTGGACTTTAAACCCCAAAAATCGAGCTGTTTCCAGCGTTGATGTAACACTGCGAAAAATAAAAAGAAAAATTAATTGTATTATCGTAAGTATTGCTTTATGAAGTTTATCCATAGTTAAATAACTTGAAAAATGATTCGGTCTTTACCTGATAAATAGATTGTTTTTTTAAATAAGTTAATTGTTCTTTTGATCTTTTGATCTTTGTTGAGTTGATTTTTATTCTTTTCTATTGATATGAATCATCTCAGAATATTTTCAGCAAAATATTAGTCATACACTGAAAGAGTACTTTTGATTAGTGTTAAATACAATCAATTCAGCTCTGATTAGAATGGATTAATATTTAAGACATACAAGATTATTTTAATTTTGAACCTTTATTGATTATTAATTACTCAATGATGTTAATTTATTTTTCAAAAACATTTTCATTTTTTTTTTTTTTTTGTCAGAATCATTGTATTTATTCTCCTCTATATCAAAATTTTAACTAGGAAATATTTTATCCTATTTCATTTATTGAACTTTACATTCAATGTTGATTTGATTTGAAACGGTTTTGAATACAATTTTAAGAGATATCTTAATATTCTTCAATGAACACAATCCTTTAATATTTTCTCAATCTAAGAAAAATTAATATTTCAATAAAATCATAACACACTCTTTTGATTAAGTAATACCATTAGAGTAATTTATTTTTTTTTAAATCAGGATTTTAAAGATAAGCAAAAAAATGAGACATTTACAGATAACATTTATCAAAATAAAAAATATAAATATTATTTCAATTTATATAATTAAAACTTTTAAACTCCACTCTTAAAATATTATTAATTATACTAATATTTTGTTCTTTTTTTCAAATAATAATTAAATCCTGATAAAATGTTTAAAAAACAGTTTTTTTAATATAATGTTTTAATTTTTTGATGGTGCATTTATCAAACACTTATTTCATGTGATTCAATATGTGAGAAAAATTTATTTTCTTTCATTCGAATTAAAAGCCCTGGATTGGATTGATATTTACACCTGCTCCTCAATTAATACTATGGTTGAGATCCTGACTTCTGATCTCCTCCATATCCTAGATACCTAAACTCCTCTTTAAATCTCTACAACGCCAACCTGCTCCTTGGCATTGGATGTTTCAAGAAATTCAAGATATGCAAAAAAACTGTGAGACAGCCTGCAGACACTTTAGATTAACCAGAATTGCAGATGACTATGAAGCGTTCAGAGTACACCGCAACTTGACGCAAACAATAATCAGGCAAGCGAAAGCCAATTACTTTCATGAAGTCTTCTCTGCTCCCAACTCTAAATCTAAATGGCATCTAATTCGAAAACTCACTCTTTTCAAATCTTCTTCCTCTTTAACCTTCCCAGTTTCTTCTGATGCATTTAATTCCTACTTTTCATCCTCCTCCTCTAACAGTATTTCTCTTGCCTCTTTCCACTTTTCTGTGTCATCTTCATTCAATAGTAACAATTTTTATTTTTCCTACATCCTTCTTACGGACCTTATTTCCTCCATAAGAAAATCCCATTCCAACTCCAATGAATTTGATGGCATACCTGTCATATTGTTAAAATTATGCCTCCCTGAAATCATTCGTCCTTCTATTCATTTATAACTTTTCCCTCCGAAATTCTGTTTTTCCTACCTCTTGGAAAAAGCCTTAGTCTTTCCTATTAACAAAAGTCTAAATATAACCACCCAATTTCTAACCTCTCTAATCTGTCAAAACCCCTAGAAAGAATTTTCCAATCCCAAATATATCCAATTTCCTGAAAGAGTTCAATCTTCTTGATCCTCTCCAATCTGGTCATCATCTTCCACAATCTATCTGCAAGCCCTCCTTTCCTTATTGATTTTACCCCACTTTGACTATGGCAGCATGGTATTTGGTGGTCTCTTGATTGTGCTCGAGAATAGACTGAAGAAAATCTTTGACTGTTTATTAAGATTTGTTTTCGGTATTTTGAGACAGTCCCATGTGTCCCTCTATATAGCGAGTTATGGTGGCAGTCTATTTCCCTCCTTCTACCGCCAATCCTTCCTTGGAAATTTACGCTCGATTCCCAGCACCTTCCTATATCTACCATCTCCTTAATCTCAAACTCTCAGTCCACTGGCAGAAAACAAGATCCCCTGTCTCTGATCTCTATATTCCCTCCCATAGAACTAAAATCTATGAACATTCCTTTGTAGCCCGCTCTGTTACATCCTGGAATTCCTTACCATCTAACATTCATCGGGCCTCTTCTCTGTCATCATTCAAATACTTCCTTTTCTAATATCTCCTTACATCCCAAACAGACGATTTGCAAATGTAAAATTTCTTTTAATCAATTGAATTTTATTAGAAGTAAATAGTAGTGCCTTCTGTTTAAGCTTTAACATAAAAAATCAATCCTTCTTTACTTGCTTTTATTATTTCTTCTTTTCTCCAGGTTTTGTTTTTTCTTTGTATATATATATATATATGTGTGTGTGTGTGTCTACTATCGACCATTTAAAAATTTCGCTCAACTTAAGGGACATCCTATATATATTTCGGCTTCACCAGCAGCTCCTGTTGGACCAAATTAACTGAAGTTCGGTATATATAATTTCTTCCCAGGTAGAACAATACTATGAAACTATGGAGAAATTTCGTCAAAATTGACGCATGTAAAGACGTTTTTCCCTGTTTTTAAAAGTATTGCTCATCCCCACAACTCCCCCTAATAAAGTTGGAAGGTTGAAATTTTGTATCTATATCAAGTTGGTGTTGGAGAAGTGGCTATGGGATAGAGATGGGCTAATGCTACTCTGAGTACCAAGTACCAAATAATTAGGGGTGGGGTGGCCGAATGGGCTAAAGCGTGTGCACAGCACCGCGAGTTGCCTGGCAACCGGATTATAGATTTGAGAAGATTTAAAAAGTACGAGTTCGCGTCCCGGTGCCAGAGGGGATTTTAAATTCCCCGCCCTCACCCCCCAGCCCGGGAAAATCCCGTATTTTTGTTCTTCCCTACCTCACCTAAAAGGTAAAAAAATAACCAAAAAAAAAAAAAAAAAAAAAAAAAAAAAAGTACCAAATAGTACTCAAATTGTATCAATATTGGGAATTCAATCACTACTTCAGTTAATGGAGTTTTAATGAATACAAAAAATTTTATTTGGGATTTACTCAAAAAGTGTGCCTTTTTTGGTGATTTTTATTGAAACATATTTCAAAGGTATTTATATTTTGTAAATGATAACAAAACATTTATCGAAATCCGTTCAGTTTTAACAAAGATATGGCATTGTTTCGGTTTTTGCTATTTTTGTCTATTTTCATTTGGAAATAATGGACTATTTGCACTGTAACAAAAGTCATCAGTGGAAGGCGGGGTTGCAGTTTGTTTTTTTTGTTTTTTTTATACATAATTTTAAAATATATGGAATAAGACAATAACGTAAATTAGAAGAAAACTAGTGAGGTGATCATTTCTGATTTTTTAAATATTTTTTATTATCTATTTATTTTATTTTATTTTTTGTTTTGCATTTTCATTTATTAATCTGCACCTGTCAATTACAACTATCGACAGTCAGCAGATAGGACTTAAATGTTAAAAAGAATAATTTATAGGTGGATGATGATGATGTTTTTGCCTGGTGTGGGACTAGTACTGGTGATATAATGAAAGTTAAATTAAACTTCTCAAAAAATTTGAACGATTTCTTTCCAGTATTCCCTCCTACTTTAGTTGCATGTTATGCAAAGCATCCAAAAGGAAAAGGAAATCCAAATAATGTGACACTGTGGCACTCAGGTAACCATAAGTTAAGCAAAAAAAAAAATCATGTAAATTTAGTGGCCATTATTCAAAAGCAACAATAAACCGTCAATTACCACAATTCATTTGTTCCTTAAAAATTATATTAAAAATTTGGTCATTAATATTAAAATATTTCTTTTGCCTAATACCTGAAATATATAAAAAACAGAAAGATATTGGCCAATAGCTATAGCAATCTATTTCTTTCATGGAATGACAAAATACCAAGTACCCATATCTTGCAACCATGCTATACTATTCTATGAACAGTGTAGGAACTTCATTATTTGTATCAGTATAATTTATTTTGATATTTTTTTACTGTATATCAGCAAATTTAATGAGTTATCTTCCAGACTAATCTGGAAATAGGTATATTAAAAATAAGTTGATCTTTTCTTTAGATATCTGATTGAAATTATTTTAAAAAAAAATTAATTTAAATACATACGTTGAAAGAGAACAAACAATCAAATGAAAATGAAATCAAGTAAATTTCTTAGTAATTACAGCAAACTAATGTTCTATTGACTAAAAATTTTAATAGTAATCATAAAAAATTAAATTAATTAATAACAAATGTTACTATTTTATCATTTAAGGTACTCCTACATAGTAATAATAATCCTATAAAAATATTGGATATCTTCATGAATATAATATTCAGAACTGTGTAAAAATAAATTTTACTTAAAATACTAAATAATAATATAAATAATATTTATAGCACACTTTGTTATAGAATAAAAGATTTGTTATTCTTGGGTGATACTTAAAAAATAAAGTTTAATTATTTATTTTTTTAACTTCAGGTGTCAGGTGCTTAATATTAGTAGGTGATAAAAAATTAATTGGAGCTGGGGATGGAACTATTGAATTAGTTGAAGAAAAGGAAGCAGTCATCGACACAATGAATAAGACATCAAAGCTGTCAACTCCTACTTACCCATTATTCAGAGTGGTTAGTTCAAACTTTATTCAAAATGATCATGTTTATTATAATGTATAAAAAAAAGGAAAGCTTGGATATAAGAATTTAAGAAAATTTATTTTAATAATGATAAAAATCAATTATATTGAAAAATACATACCCAAAATTAAAACTGGATATAAATAACAGGCTAAGTTCCAAACACAAAAAATTTAATGGATCCAAAATAAGCGACCAAAATGCCGTTGCCAACAACTTAAAAACAAATGTAAATTCAATAACCATTATTGTTGTCATTACAAATGGCTGACATTTAATCTGCTTTTTAGATTGTCGACGATGGTATTGAGCTAGCTTTCTAAACCACTTTTTTTTTTAAACCACTTTGGCTTCTACCTTTCACACAGTGTATTTCGTTTCTAAATCAACCAACCAGTTCTTTTCTTATTAAATTTTAACTTTATCTTAAAGTTTACTTCAGGCAGAGGTACTCTCACAAAATCATGTCCACTCCAAGAACATCAAATTGATTTTTAAAAAATCTACAAAATAATTATTACCACAAACTTTATTTTGTTTAAATTATCGCCAAAATTTACTTCAAAAGGGGAAGGAGATTTTTTCAAAACATTTTTGTGGCACAACAAAAAAAAAAATAATTTTTACAAATGTTTTGAAAAACTTGATAATGTAAAAAGATACACCATAACATTTTGTTATCTGATATTTTGGCTTTGTATCATTTCATAATCTACTATATCAGGTTTAATAATAAAATACCAATGAATGGTACATCTAACTACATGGACGTCTTCACTTCATTTTCATAGGTAAAGCATGCTGAAGTTGGTTCTTTTGTAACATCCATGCAACTACAAGGAAAAAACAAAGTTCTAATAGGAACAATAAAGTGTGAAATGTTCATAATGGATCTAGATGAATTCCAACCAAAACTGATAATATCCTGCCATACATCTACTATATTTGATATTGCTTTTCCAGCGTAAGATAAAACTACATAGTAATAATAATTACATATCATTCTTATTCAACATATTCAATACATAAGTTAAATAAGATATCACAATGTTTTATAGTGGCTATTCCCATGTTTTTGCAACTGCCAGCAAAGATGATGTCAGAGTATGGAGCATTGAGCAATCAAAAGAGCTTCTTAGGATCACAGTACCAAATTTTACTTGTTCTAGTGTGTTATTTTCTCATGATGGAAGAGCTATTTGGACTAGTAAGTACAATTTTCATACATAAATTATGAATTATTTCTGAGTAGTTTATAAAACTCTTTATATTTGTGTCCACCTAATTAATACCACTTCTGATTAATTATTACAATGGAATTAAATTAAATCTCTCGCTTAATTTTAAAGGCTGGAATGATGGAAATATACGTGCTTTTACACCACAAAGTGGGAAGCTTATTACAACAATATTTGACGCTCATAATAAAGGCGTTTCTGCAATAGCGGCGACTAAGGATGGCAAGAAACTTTTGAGTGGTGGAATAGAAGGGCAGGTAGATAATAGATAATTGTAGTTGTTTCAAGTATGAAAATTAATTCTAATTAAATTAATTTTAATCTACAGATACGAATATGGGAATTAAAAGGCATTTATCAAAAACTAACAGCAGTTTTAAAAGAACATAAAGGTCCAGTATCTTCTATTGATATTGCACCAAGTGATTTAGAAGCAGCTTCAGCTTCAACAGATGGTACTTGTATTATTTGGGATATTCAGTAAGTTGATGAACTTTTTATGTAATCGTGTTTTACAAATCATCGAATATGCTAAATGTATTTGTGGTTTTAGGAAATGTGTCAGAGTTGCAATTTTATTTTCCCAAACATTATTTATGGGAGTTAAGTACCATCCATCCGGTTGCCAGCTTTTAACCTGTGGAACTAATCGCCAAATTGGATACTGGGAGATATTTGATGGTTCTCTTATAAGAGAAGTTGAAGGCTCAATATCAGCAGCTCTAAATACATTAGATATTAGCCATGATGGTAACTTTTATATTACAGGAGGAAATGATTACTATGTTAAGGTAAAATGAACATTTTTTTTTTATTTTCACTTATTAATTTATGAAATATATAGTAAGGAAAAGTATTACAGTTTCAAACTATTTAGGAGTTCACAAAATATGTTGCATATATATATATATACATAAAGACAAAATTAAATGAAATGGTTTTACAATGTTATAAAGAAAAAAAAAATTACAAGGAATGTACTGTTCCTTTTACTTAACAATATATGAAATATTACAGTAAGAAAAAGTACTGTTATCGTGAAAAAAAATTTAAATCCAAGTTTTAAACATATCCTTAGTCTAAATAGGGACGATACAGCAAGTTTTTAACCTTACTTGCTATGCAGCTCTACTATACAGCCCAGGGTGGGCCTTGGCTTCCTGGATTATAGCATGCCAATCATCTCTATTCTTAGCCCTATCCTTCCAGTTTCTCACATCCAGTGTTTTAAGGTTGATCTCAACATCGTGTAGCTATCATTTCCTTGGCATTCTTTTTCTTCTTGCGCCATACATTGTAGTAAACAATGCCCTATAAAGCATCCTGCTGCTGTACATTCTAGGAACGTGGCCTAACCATTCTATGTGCCTAATTTTAACAAAATGAACAATGTCTCCATTACTATATAGTTCATATAGCTCCGAATTGTTTCAATACCTCCTCACATTCTCTTTACAAACAGCTCCATAAATTCTTCTCAATATTTTTCGTTAAAAAATAATCAGTACTAATTGTTTTTGCATAAAGGGTCCATGTATCTACTGCATAAGTCACAATAGGTCTTACATAATCTTATTTTTGTTACTCGTGACAGGAGCGATGATCTCACTAAACTTTTTCACCAAAATTGTCTTACATGAAGTGCAATTTTACAATTATACATTTTTATAATTTTCTCAAAAACAGCTTTAATGGATTTGATTAAACTTGTAATATTAATGTACAATAAACTAATAAAAGTTTTTTAACAAATTTAGTAGCAAAATTAGAGTAATAATATATGTACATATATATAATATATCATTGGAAAACTCTATTGGAAATATATCATTCTTCAACAATTTTTTAGAAAATTTTATTTTCAAAATAGAAAATTGTAGATGATTATAAAGAGTCACGAAACAATTATGAATAATAATTTCTAGAAACTAATATTATTTTACCGAAATGAAATGTTTCCATGGAAATTAAATGAAAGTTTCTAACTAAATACAAAATTTTATGATTAGCTTTAAGCTTGACGACTAAAAATATATTACGCATCATGTAGTAATCCTGGAATTGTGTAATACTTTTGTGAGAGAAGTCAATGCTGCTCAAAATATTTCAAGCAGTATTTATGTTTCAATAAAACACATGGTAACCTTGAATAACTTAAGCCACAATAATTTAAAATATGTTTTCACAATCACTTATTGTTTTCAAGTTGGAAAGGATGCCTTAAGGAAGGGTATTCAAACACTTTAGATTAATCTATAAGGGAATTGGGAGACTCCATCTGATATCTCATTTTATAAACATTATTTAACCAAGGGAAGTTTAATTTAGCCTAATTAAATTGAAATTATACACTCAATAATTTTATAAATGTATTTTTAAAGGTTTGGTTGTATAAAGAAGGAATAACTACGCATATAGGACTTGGACATCCTGCAGTTATAACAGCAGCAGCAATAGCTCCTGATTGTAGCCATATCGTTTCATGTTCAGCTGATGGTGCAATTTTTATATGGAAATCTCCATATAATACATTACCTACAGTTGAAGCTCAAAAAGCAAAGAAGGAAAAAGAAGAAAACATTGGAGGCATATCCCATGAACAATCAGTAAAATCAGTTAGCCAACCAACAGATGATAATACAGAACAGAGGAATAAGTCTCTAGAAGAAAGTAAAATAAAAACTCCAGAAGGAAGTACAACAAAATCTTCAGAAAGAATTAAAATTAAATCTTCAGAAGGAAGTAAAATTAAATCGCCAGAAGGAAGTAAAACAAAATCTTCAGAAGGAAGTAAATCAAAAACTCCAGAAGGAAGTAAAACAACATCTCCAGAAGGAAGTAAAACAAAATCTCCAGAAGGAAGACCAACAAAAACACCTCCTACAGGTAATGAAAACTAACCATTTTAAACAAGTATTTCTGTAGTAATATTAACCTTCATCTTCTTCTTATTCAATATTCTCTTCTACCTTTCGGTGTAAAGATTTAGAGAGATGGAGATAGAGGGGGTGAAGACAGATCACCTCCGCGTGGTGCCCCCTGGTAACAGTATTATAGTGGCTAAACGATCTGTAAATGTGGTAATCTGAATGGGTCATACCATATAACTGTCTCAGGAAGTAGGAATTAACCTTTATAATAACAAAATTTATTTTTACCTAAAATGAAACTTTCACTTTTCAATAGATTTTCCAAACACAAATTATTTCCAAACTGTACTTATAAATTGATCATATCTTCAATAATTATTGTATTAGTCTTATTTTTAGTTAATATGATTATTTAGTAGCTCATCCTTTTTGGTTCCTTTCAGAATACATCTGACACAAAAAAACTGTTTTATAAGGCTTTATAACAATTTTTCACATTTAATTTTACACTGAAGAGATAATTTCTGTTTATCTGAATTTTTCGTTCAAGTAAAAATAAATGTATTTATTGTTTGTCATTAATTAATACGTACCGATTTTTTATTTTATTTTTAAATTTAATATTAATTGATATCTTTACATACTTTGGTTATAATCTTCACATATCTTACATTGATATCTTTACATTAAGCGACATTAAATTTCAATATTATCCCTCATAAATTGCACCCATTTTTGCAAATATGTATATGGCTTTCAATTACACACTCTTGAGATCAAATTAAACAGTCATGATTTTATATAATACTTTTAATGACTATAAATCCTTAATGACTAATTGCATCCTTTTTCTGAATGATGAATATGAATTTTTATTACAGAAGGATCAATTAAATGTTACTGTACAGAAACATGTGGCTGCAAACCAAATAACCCACCACACAGTCCCAAATCAAGGCTAGGTAATAAATTACATGATTATAATTGTGTAGTTAAAGCACTGTAAAAATAATTTAATATAGCATAGTTTTAGTTGTATTTGTTTATTTTTAGGTTGGTTTATAACATATTTGATCATGAGAAGTTCATGGGTTTCTCAAACCACTTTTTTTAAATTTTATATTGTTCTAAACAGAATTATATGTCATTAAATAAAATTTTAAAAAATGTTTACAGAAATTGAAGCTGAGAAAAAAATTAAAATGGCTGAAGAAGATAGATAAACTGTCTGCAATTTAATGAAACCAACTAATAAATACATTTGGACAGAAATACATATTATATTTAATATTAATAAAATTTAAATTACAAAAATTTTCATTAAGATAAGGATTATGATTGTTCAAAAAATGTTAAAAATGTATTTTATTTTCTCTCTATTCTATAAAAAGGTTTTTAGTGACTTTCATATTTTATTTTATTTTAGTATTAGGAGAGTATAAGATAACAGGATCTCGGTGATTATTTTACAAATTATACAGCTGTTCATTTAATTTACACGTGTTGAGCTCCTGTTATCTACTAGTCTTCTAATAAAAAATAAAGATTTAAGACTAAAAATTTTTATGTTATAAAAAAAACAAATAATTTAAAATTTTTAAAAAAATTGGTAAAGTAACGTAACATAGTAATGTAAAATATACACAAAAGTATTTCAGCAAAAGCTCCATCCATATTATGTAATTAGGCAATTCATTAATATTTTAATTGTATAAAGTTGAAAAATTATTGAAATCTATTATCGACAGTTATTTATATAAAAGAATAACAAAGCGAAAGAGATATATTTGAACATCAATGAAATCAGCTGGTGGGGGATATTCTCTTAAATGGGAGATAACAGAAAGTAATATACTGTTTTAATGAGAGTATTTTCAATTTTTTTATATAATATTTTGCTAGCACCATGTTAAATTAATGAATTTTAACTGTCCACATTTGTTACTATAACTTGGCGCCGACGATTTATTATCTCTCTTTTAATATATAATTTGGGGGCCAGTATAGCAGAGTGGTTAGTGTGCTATACAAGTAAAGCAAAGATCATAGTATTGAATCCCGGCCCAACTTTCCAATTCGACTGGTCTCCGCGGGAAGTTAGACCATTACCCTCTTAATTAGGAGAGGCCTACGGGTTGCAAAATACTTGTAAGAACAGCCTTTAAAAAAAAAATGTATGTAATTTAGTTATTAAATTAAAACAACTGCAGCTTGAATTGTCTGTTTATGTTATTCAAAGCAGATTTACTGTCACACAATAAAGATTAATTTTTCTTACATTCAAACATCAATGTCTACTTTCAAGATTAAATGTATAGTAAAAATTAACTGATAAAATTCTACTTCATAGAAAAGTCAATAAATACAGATTTTTTCAAGAACAGGGTTATTTTAAAAACAATAAAAAAATATTCTACCATTCATTTATTTTCATTATTCACAGAAAATGGAACCAAGGTCTCAGTACATTTAAAAACAATAACTCCATCTAATTACTATTTAATTTTATAATTTAATCTGGAAGAAAGGTTTTGAAAAATAATTAAGTTCTGATTTTTTGAAATTAGATAAATAAAAGCTGGTTTACCACTAGACACTGTTTTGGATCCTTTGTTTTAAAACATGTAAGTACATTGCTTTGATATCCCACAATTTCAAACTATATGAGCAGATGCTCAGCTATTTAGACATCTAACAAAGAAGCTATTAAATTAATGTTTTCAAGCACTTAAGAACAACTGAAGATATATAATTGTGGGTAAAATGGTTGACTGTCGTGAATAATGGAGAGAAGAATAGTTGGGGTGATCAGTCAAGTAAGAAAGCAAATATAATTTGACTGATCACCCCAACTATTCTTCTCTTCAACTGAAGATATAGCTTGCAGGACCAGATAGATGGTAGAGAATAAAAATGAATGCATTAAAGAGCCTTTCGATTATATTTATACTAAGACATGACCTTTGTTTTTTGTTGCTTTACAACACTATTGCTATATAATGCACTACCTCAATAAAAAACTAACAATTGCTCATAGCCACATAAAATAAAAATAATTTATGAACTTTTTCAAGTTTTTTGACAGACTAATAAAGTGGCCATTAACTAAGTATTTATAAACTTACTTTTGCCGTATGGAACTGACATATAGAGAACAAAAAAATGTAACCCTAATTTTCAGAAAAATTATGAAGCCTCTTTTATAATATTAACAGTTTACATTCCTTTCATCACAAAATCTGCAATAATTTTTTCAACAGACTGAAACTAAAGCCAAACCCTCTGACCGAAACACTTACTATCCACTTGCCCTTAGGATATATCCAAAAAAATTAGCTAGCCGATACTTTCTACACTTAATTTTTTTTTTAATCATGATTAAGGAAGAAATGATTTCTGCGTCTCCTAATTTCTCTATTATTTTTCTTTTATAACTTTTTCAATTTTTTATTTCCCTAGCTCACATATTTGCTTATTGCTTAAGCAAATCTTAATGTAGTCAAAAGTAAGCACCATTCTTATGTGTAATTGAATAACATTACTTAGAAAAAATCTATCATTTATGGTTAGAATGTTCTAATTAAGCGAAATATTGATATTGGTGGATGTAAGGGAACATTTCAACCTCTGTTTAAGAAGAGGAAAAAATCATATTAATCTACACAGTGTAAATTGTTTATAATTTTTATAAGTATTTATGTGAATCTTAAATTATCTACCTATGTTTTAACAAAAAAAACCTTCTATAACATTTATTTTTGGTGAGGTTTGAGAGTTTCTTTCTGATATACAAATCTTATACTTTGCTAACAATGTAATTTCTATTCTGAAAATAATTGCTCATATGTTTAGCACTGCTCTCGAAATCAATTCAAGACTTTTAACATGGTATGTGATATCAGATTAGGGCAGCAATTCAAATCAATTATTTTAAAATATAAAATAAAATCCATTTTTTATATTTTGCAGTTTAAAAAGTAATATATAAAATAGATTGTAAGTGTATTTTCTTTTTAAAATGCAAAATACAAAAAATATTTGTATTTTATTTCCAAGATGCTACAATACAAAAAACTTATTTTATTTAGTATTTTAAATACACAAAATAAATTACCTACTAAAGCAGGTTCCCTGTTTTATATGATAGAATGTATTTTGTTTTTTGTAATATAAATACAAAACACTTTTAGTATTTTGTATTTGAAATACATTAACTGAAAACAATTTTAATACTTTTTAAATAAATAAAATACACTATGTTTTAAAAAAACAAAATTTGTGGTATTTTAAAATAATATTTAAAATACATTTTGATCATGTCTGTCTGATACACACAAGGATTTTGATTTACTGTGAAAACTCAAAAGTGCATTTTTTTTAGTATCCTTACTTTGCCATATGCCTGATAATATCAGCAATATAAAAAAAATAATAATTTCACTATGAAAACTCATCTATCACAAGTACAGACAAATAAAAAATTATGTAATATATAAATAGATATGTAAAAAATAAAGTATAGTACAACTCAATATAATGAATATATATTTAAAATTATTTACAAAACTATATTTTTTCTACTTCATTTTTTTTAACCCCAAGCTTGTGTTTGGCAGTAATGTAAAATAAGTTTTCCATCTGTGCCAAAGCATTCATAAAGATTCCTTACAACCTGATCTGGAGATGGGGCAAATGATTGATTCACATATAAGAACTAAAAAAAAAAAAACTTATTAAATTAATTGAAACTATAAACTGCTTTTATTATGTTCACTTCTTTTAAATAATACAAACCAAAGATTCACTTGAATCCAATTTAAAATATTTCCTAAGAAAACTGATAATCCATGCAATTGTTTTATCATGATCAACAGTCCATTTCCTTCTTTTCATAATTGGAGCATTAGCAGTAGCTTTCAGAAAGATGTCAACTGAAAAATAAAAATGTTATTAATAATAATAATAGGAATTTGATCACATAGTCCTACTTTATTTAATTTTCTACACCAACATTACACCCCTTAAGCCATTTTCAAAGTGAGAAACCTTTAACAAGTTTGAATACATTATGTTTAAAAATATTATAATAAATCATGAAATCCCCACTCTAATTACAATGTAAATTAAATAAGTGTGGGGCCATATATTCTTCTCTGAATTTTTCTCTCTGATGTACTCAGCAACTTCTCAATCCCAGGTGAGGATTAGCTACCTTCGCATTTTAATTCTTTTTAGGATGTCCACCACCTCGTTCAGCTTCCTTAGGCATGATAAACTCTACTACATCTTCCACCAGGCCGATTCTCGAATAGGCATTTGGGAATTGAGTCTCAAGGCATACACACCACATGACCTAACCATCTGGTTTTGATACCCAGAATCTCATAGGAAACAATTTGATGTGCCATAAAAAAAAAAAAAAAAAAAAAAAAAAAAGAACTTTATACCTTGGGAGTAACATTAATCCAAAATTGAAATAATTTCTTAAATGCCATAAGCAAAAATAATGAATGACTGATTTGAGAATGGTTTCTCATTGTTAATATGAAAAAGGGAGTTGGTTCTGGATGAAAAAGAAAGTTGGAAACAAATAAGTAATTTTGGTTTTGGAGTGATGTTAACTCCTGCTCCTCCCTTCCATCCAAATGTAAAGTTGCTCTGATTTACAGTAATCATAATTCAAAGATAATAGTTAAAAATAATTTTGTAAACTATGAAGAAAACTGCTATACTATGAAGAGAAGCCAGAGGATCCTGTATGAAAGTTAGATAAAACACATAATAAAGGACATCCGTTCATTTGTCCAAGTTTCGTGGCATAAAACTTCAGTGGCCATCAACACCATTCTTTCTGCTTAATTTAACTTCTCATATATAGTGCATATGTATGCATATTTGCCTTATGAAAAGGCATCTCTAATAATGAAACTACATTGGAAATAAAGGATATATATATATAAAAAAAAAAGATAAGAAAAGATAATACCAAGGTAGATAATGTATTTAATGAGAAAAGTGTTTCACTGAATTTACATTAAGAAAGAAAAAAAAAGATTGTTGATGACAAGAAGTAACCAAAGCACAAGTTTTCAATTACCTTTGTTTTTCTTTTGGAGCGTACTATCTCCACTATGAGATGGGATGGTGATATTTTCAGAATTTTCACTAGAAACATCAGCATCCTTAGGAATGTCAGATGAATCATTAATTCCTTCTTTGTTTTCAGAATCTGACATTATCAACAATGAGGAAAAAGACAATTTATGAAGTTGAAAACAAGCAACTAAAGATATAAAAACCAAAATTTGGATAAAATGTTCGAAAAACTATAGGATATCAAGAAAAAGAAATTCACACCAGAAATGTGATGTAGGATTAACAACAAATATCCAAACCTCTATTTATTTACTAATGTGCAGTTTATAACCGAAACTGGAGGTTACTATTGTAAGTACTTAATCGATTTCGTGGATATTGATAAATATTTCTTGTATACTTGCCCTGAATATATAATTATAAGCAAATAACCACATAATATTTTTTAATTTAAACTATTCATGATATCATTCCCTTTCCAGCAAATTATCGTCCCGATTTACAGCTAATGTCTTTAAATCGATTTACACAAACAGCAAAGAAGGTTTCAAATTGTCAGCTAATTTATTATTGATGTAAAGTTTAAGTTGTTAAAAAAGTTAAGTTAAAAAGTTTTTATTATAATTGAAAATGCCTCCCAAGACGAAGAAAAGTCAGTCATTATGGCATAAATGTGAAAATTGCTCATGTATATTGAATTATAAAGATGTTGACATCCACATTGATTATTGTCAACAATCCACCTCAGAAAGGCCTTATGGTTTTATTGACAATTTTGTCCTGTACAGCTTTATTGATGATTTTAGTTATAAAGGTATTTATTAACATTTTTGAAAACACCCAAATTTTTCATAAGGTCCATCAAACATTTAGCATGGTTATCTAATCTTATAAGGTAAATCAGATGATTAGTTAAAAAAACCTAGTTCAATCCATTTTCAAAGATTTTGCACTAGACACAAAAACAAATTCATACCTTATCTAACTTACCTTACAGCATGGGTTTGGACCAATTTTTATACCAAATTGTCCTTTACAAAATATCTTTGTTATATGAGATAGGGCATAAAATATATATATATATATATAAGTGTATGTTAAACCAGTTTGAAAACTAACTGCCTTGGAAATACACCTACATTTAATTTTATTTTTGATGTTACTCTTTTTTTGAGTAGTAGGCTGAGATATCATGATCATGCTATAAATGCTATCCAAGAATAGAAGAAGATGGATAATATATGAATGTGAAAATATACATCTCAGATGGTCAATATATTGACCATGTAAGGGTCTCTTATACATATGAATATACATAGATAGGTGCAAATGTATAAACGTAGGTAGGTAAATGCAGCTTCTAGTTGTATCAAGCTCAGTTCTCATTCAAAATTAATTCTGATTCAATAACTATTCATTATTTTTATTATATTTCATAATATCCATTGCTTACTTCAAGAAAATGTGAAACTATATCAAAAATATTAAAGTTTGAACTATACATGAACTGAAATGTGGCTCTCATTAACCTCATTAATACTCATGCTTTGATGGTAAATTAACGTCACATAATCTTTTTTGTTTGCCATATTGTAGACTGTCGTTGACCAGTGAAGCTGGAAACCGTGACCAAACAGACCGAGGCTTAATTTATTCTATTTTTAGTCTACCTATGAGAATTATTTTTTATTCATATACATCAGAAATATTATTTATTCATATTCCGGTTATGTAAAACTTAATAATTATTGGTTTAATACATTATATTGTCATATTGTTAAAATAAATTATGTTATAGTACAATATTTTTAATCATTCATTCATTCATTATTTCCGTTGTTTCAATGTAGTATACCTCTTCAGGCTAGAGCTGAGGTCTACACATCTTTTATCTTCCCAGTCTTCCTCCTGTAGACCTTGGCTGGCCATGTCTTCTCAGACTTCTTCTATCCACGTGATTCTGGATTGGATCCACGCCTTATGCTTGATTGCAATTTTTAATAATGAAATTTTAAAAAAATTATTTTCCGTTATTAGAGTGAAAACATTACAGACCACAAATATTTTACATAACAAAATTTAAGTTATGAATATGAAACACAAGAACAAAGTGGAAAAAAAAAACACTTTTGTGGATCTATTCACACATCAACTGGCCTAAAAAGGAGCAAAAGAAGTATTAAAAAAGTTTGGCAACTTTTCAAGATCTACATTTCTAAATTAATTGAGAAAGGAGATTAAAAACAAGTTGAAGAAAAATTGGAATAAGATAAAAAGTCATTCCTAATGGCCAGGGCAGTCAAAGTAATGTTGAAATAAACCAAATAAAAAAGTTTATACTTTTTAAAAATCTGTAGAAAATGCTTTTGACTTTATTATAGATGAGTAGTCAATTAACATATTTCAAATCATTGGGTATTAAAATGAGGCAGTTAAAATAACAGCAATTAATAGAAAGGATAGAACTGCTCACTTTCATTACTAATTAATAAAATACGTTTCATTCATATTATGAAGGTGGGGGATTCATACTGGTACTGGTGGGGGAACTTAGTCTGGCAAGTGGGCCTATTGGTCCTTTTTGCCACATATGAAATAGATGTAACATTAATTCTAATGTTTTATATTTGGAAGATAATTTAGTGTCTTATTTTGAGTACTTCATCTAGGGCTTAAAGGCAGTGATCCCGCTGGCTCGGGAAAACCACTGTATGGCAAAAAAAGGGGAGAACAAAAAAAATATGTATATATGTAAAAAAATATGTCTTAGTCACATTTAAATAATATTATTAGTGAAACTAGCAAAGCATTAATTATTCGTTAAAGCAGTATCTACTAGTTATCTATGAAGATTTAATTGCTTATTAATATTTATATTAATAATTTAAATAATAAAGAAGTTGGTTAATGGTTGCAGTCAGTGAAGTACACAAAAATTTATTTATTTTCTCTTTATTTTATTTTTTTCTTATTTGTACTTAACTGATTGCAACAGCCAACCAATTTCTCTTACTATAAGTATCTATGGTCAACCATTTGTCCACTATTAATTTAAATAATAATTTACAATTTACTGATTTTTATATTCTGCTGTTTAGAAATACTACCTCCAAGTTGTACCAATTATGCCAAGGATCTTGTTTTTTTATCCCAATCTGCTATGCAGCTTTGTGGATTCTCAATAGGATATCCTGTTCTTGTTGAAACCTCTCACTATACTACAGTTTTAAAAGCCTGGCCTACACTTGAAGGAAGTTTGACAAGTGTCGGATTATTTTTTGAAGGTTTGGTTATACTTCAATATTATTACTTAAAAATTGTATAAATAATATTTAATGATTATATTCATGGTTTCAGAAATAGAAATAAGATCAGGTTTGAAACTGGATTCTAATCGAGTAAAAGTTTCAAAGTTACCTATGAAGCCATATACTGCTAGCGAAGTATATTTTAATATTATACCAACCGATGATGATGATATTCCTAATTTTGAATCTGAAATTCCACATTTATCTTATAGATTCAAGGATAAATTATTACATAGTAATATGTTTTTAATAATACCATTTTATGGGAAGAAGGTAAAAATAAAAATTAATAAATTCAATCGCATAGAAGAAGATATCGCCAACAATTTTCAACAAATGAATTTAAATATTGTTTTTTATACTATAACAGAAAACAGCATTTGGATTAATGAAGAAATAAACAAAGAAATAAAAACTAAAGAGTTGAGTCCTTTGAAAATTGGAGGGTATGAATCTATGATTAGTGAATTGACCCAGAATATTTTTTATACCCTAAGTCAGAAGTTTAATTACAAAGGTATTTTATTATATCATTACCATGTTTATGTTGTTTGTTTTGTTTTTTTTGTTCTTTTTTAATATAGCAGAATTATTCTATTATAGAGCAACGGTGTTCTCCTTACTGTATTTTGCTCTATGGTCCCAGTGGTTCAGGAAAGTCGTATATTGCTCAATATCTTACTAATATTTCTCAGAAACCTTCAATTAATATTCAGGTATTTTATAAATTTTTCTCAATATTTTTCTATAACGTATATATTTAATTACATTTTTTTTTCTTACAAAAGGGTTCAGAATTGTTCAGTAAATTTTATGGAGAAACTGAAAACCGTTTAAGAATTGTTTTTCAAGAGATTAAATCTAAAGTACCCTGTGTTGTTGTAATGGACAACATAGAAACTCTTGGTTCTAAAAAAGGTAACGATCAGGAGAGAAGAGTTTTATCCACCCTTTTAAGCTTATTTGATTCTATACGCTTCCTTCCCGTTGTAATAATTGCAACAACTGTTGATCCAGATGTATTAGATCCTGCTCTTAGGAGACCTGGGAGGTAATTTTATTATTTAGGATTTTATTATATTTATGTCTGTTTTTCATTATGTCTTAAATTGCTTCATTATTTTAACATAAATGTGTGAAGAGGGAATAGTAGTATTTTATTTAAATAATTGAATATATTAAACTATATACAAAATGTTTTTTGTTTTATTATGTCCCTTTCAAGGTATTTCATTTGTTTTGATTTACTTAAAATTTCCTCGTTCATTATATATTCTATTAATCCTTATATATCCTTAAATTAATCAAATATAAATGTATGCAGAGACTTTTTATTAAAAAAGTTTTATATTTGTTGGTTCTATAACTTAATTAGGTTAGTTTAACACCTCTGATAAAGGTACTTTTTAAATTAGATACCAAATTAAAAATGAAATCATAGGTTACTAAATAAAATAATAAACTACTTATAAATTTTTCAGATTAGAGACTGAACTTGAAATCAATATTCCTGACAAAATGGATCGTTTTAAAATCCTGAAAAGTTTGATTCCTGAAACTGTTCTTCAATCTGAATTAGAGGAGGTTGCTGAACATTGCCATGGATATGTTGCAGCTGATTTAGTTTCATTAGTAGATAAGGCATTATCAAAAACTTTGATGACTACTTCAGAAAGGAATATTTCTGCAGAAGACCTTCTATGGGCTTTCACTCAAGTGAGACCATCAGCAATGCGGGAACTTCAAGTCCATGTTCCTACTGTATGTGGGCTAGATAAAATATTTATTCATTTTCTATTATTAATATTTAAAAAAAGAGCTGAGGTAGCTCAGTGGTAGGACTTCTACTGCTCAAGGACCCAGGTTCAAGTCAGGCTGATGACAGATAAATTATTTATTCTGTTTCGTCGGCCATGGATCAACCCTGAGGTCGGGAGATCCTCCTGGAGCACACTCAGCCTCTATAAATTGGGTACTCTTAATTAAATAATTAATTATGGGGTAAACCTGGCAGTTGAGCGTGATCTTGTTCATATCACCTTCTTACACAACCATTGACCAAGAAACAGTAATTTCTTACAATGTACTGAACCCAAGATCATTCATGCATTGTAGTGGTACAGGTTTTTTTTTTTTTTAATATTTAAAGACTACCATTGCATTATTAAAGTAAAAATTAGCTCTGAACCAAAAGATAAACATCTGAGGGGTTAGTTAAAGGCCAGCTTCTTGGATAAACTCGCTTTGGTCTAGAAACTTAACTGTGCAAACTGGTTTTGTTAAGACACAATACCTAATTGTTTCAAGACGTTGGAAATTGTTGACCAAACTATGGCAGTGCTTGTGTTCAGGAAACTTATTCTTCAAAACACTCTCACTAGCTGGCCATTGAAATTGGCAGCAGACACACCATCTACTCTTTGTTAAGTTTAAAAATTAACCAAATAGTATCCAGAGAAAATCTTAACTTAAAACTTAAATGTATATAAATCTTTGTTATTTACCCTCCACATCGGTCACTTAGATCACAATAATCTACAGTTGCGATCTAAATGGGGGACGATGTAGCCGAGCTGACTAAAGTGTTTGCACAGCACCACACGTTGCCCAGTAATCTTATAAATGAAGTTAGTGATGGGTAAATAATTAAAAATTTGACTCTCGGTGCACGGTGGGACTTTTAACTCAGCATAATTCTCCCTTCCTCTTTCCTGGGCTGGCAAAAACCCCATGTAGCCTAACAGACAAGAAAGGTGAGGAAAAAAAAAGTTATGATCCAAGTGTAGTATAAATGGCATATCAGGACTCCATTGAATAAAAAAATAATCCATTGGTTCTTACTTATACTTGTTCTGGAGTTGTTATTAGTAGGTGGGGATTAGTCCTTCAAGTAAATGAGGTTTTCTTATCAGAGTTGAAGTTTCAAGATCTATTTTGCTTGAATAGAACTTATTATTATTATTATTTACTTGAATAGAATTTATCACAAAGTAAATTTTTATGGATCTTTTTTAGGATGTAATTATTATTTTGTTCGCTGTGTTATTTTTTCATATTTTATCATTTCTAGCAGATCATTGAACCTTATTCCTAAAAAAATATTTTTTTATTAATTTGAAGAATATTTAAGAGCCATTTTTGTTATTTCCTTTGAATATTGTATTATATATTAAGACAAATGGCAAATCAATAATAATATAAGATGACCAAGAATTGAAATTGACCAAGAAACCAGTAGTACATTAGATATCTGCAGAGGATAAGAAGAAAGAACTAGGAACTTCTTAAAAATATTCACCATAAAAAACTATCCTATTGAAAATGCATAGAAGATAAATTATTTCTTACTGTAAAGAGTAAAAAATCTTTTCCAAAGACTGCTGCATATTTGTTTATTATTCACTTCTCTATTTCCTATTTGTGGTTATTTAATCTGCCATTTATTATTCTAGGTGAAGTGGAATGATATCGGAGGAGGGCAAGAAGTTAGGTTGAAGTTAGAACAAGCTGTGGAATGGCCACTGAAACACGGTGAAAGCCTGAAAAGGCTTGGTATAAAAGCTCCCAAAGGAGTTCTTCTCTATGGACCACCTGGCTGCTCTAAGACTTTAGTTGCTAAAGCTTTAGCTACTGAAACTAATCTTAATTTCATTTCAATAAAGGTCTTTTTTTCATGCATCAATATTTTGTTTATAAAATATATTAATATTACATTCATGCTTGTATATGTGTTCCTTACATAATCAAACATTGATAAATTAATAGTAATATTAAATTTTCATCAGCTGGTTTTGATAAGGATTTTACTGAAAGCTTGTAAATGCAATTATCTTTCTTTAATCTATATTTATGCCTCTAGTAATGCTTATTAAACATTCTATTAAATGTTATCATTTAGAATATCTTATCTTTAGAATGTTGGGGTTGTCAAAAATCTTTGTATATCTTGAAAACTCAAAAGAGAAAATTAAAGAAATAAAAAAAAAAAATAAGAAATATGCTTTTAAAATGATTTAAAAAGAGCTCTATTGTTTTACCTTCATTAAAGGCTTTTAAATTATTACAAGTTATTTTAATACAAATATTTTACTATACTAACTTTTAGTCTTAAAGAAAGAATAACTATTCCAAAGAAGTATATTTTATTCAGCATAGTCGATCCCTGTTAAGCATCAAGATAATAAACTGGTTGTATTCGATCTAAATTAATTTTAAAATGTATGTTGATCAAATCTCTGATGATGTTGCCTCATTTTATTTCAGATAGCTCGTCTATAAAATAATTTAATTTGTATTAATGCACCATCATAGAAGGTTTCCCTTAATCACCACACATGATGATTTCATTTATTATTTCTCTGAACTACTTGTTACAAAATAGAACATCGATTCCATTTTCTGACTCAATTTGATTCACGGCCTGATCTAAATTAGTCTAACTATACTGATATATAGGCTGTCCATATCATTGGCACTAAGTTAAAGTAACGAATGTGAAATTTTGGACCTGTTAACATTCGTTACTTTAACATGGTGCCAAGGATATGTATAGCAAATCAATGTATTTGGGCAGCATTACTTGGAAAACAAAATTTTTTTCTTTCTCTAATATTGTTTATAATCATAATAATAATATAATAGTAAATTATCAAACTTGCTTAATTTATAACAATGCTGTTGCAAACATATTGTAAAAGAATAATATATATATATATATATATATATATATATATATTCAAAAATATTGAATTTATAGGCATTGACGACTTCGGGGTTTCATGCTTCTAAGTCTTAAACTAAATAACTATAACAACAACAAATATTGAAATAAATATGTTATTCCTTTGTACTTATTTTTTTTTTCATTTTAGGGATCAGATATTTTTTCAAAATGGGTAGGTGAATCAGAGAAAGCGTTACGTGATTTGTTCCGTAGTGCTAGAAAGGTGGCTCCAGCAATTATATTTTTGGATGAAATTGATGCATTGGGAGCTAATCGAGGAAGCTCTACAAGCAATACTGTCCATGAAAGAGTCTTGTCTCAGCTTCTCACTGAGATGGATGGAGTTAATCCTCTTGATGGTGTTGTAATTGTTGCTGCCACAAATCGGCCTGACTGTATTGATAAGGTGAAAACATTAAATAATTCAAAAGGCTATTTATTTTTTACCACTCTGTTATAAATCTTATAATTGATGCCATGAGGAACAGGAGTGCTAAAACATCATAACTAGAATATGGCCCGTGTGAGTTGAAATTTATTTTGTGGTGGAACCATGGAATGAATCTCGACCTTTCCCCTTAGAACACGTTGGTTATAACTGTAGAATAACCCCTTCATATGCCGGAAATCACTTCAGGTTTCTCAGATCCCGGGTTTACTGCAGAGGCTCTAGAAGTACACTCTTTAGATCATTTTGTTTTAGGAAGAGTAGTGAACTATCCAGATCTAATATACAAATAAATTTTAAAATAACTAATTAGTTAAGTTACTTACTGATTGACTTAGTGACTGTCTTTAAATACTCATGTGATTTTGTAGGTTTTCCCTCAGTCAAATATTTTATAATATAAGTTGTACTGTACAAAAATTAAGACATAAAGGTAGTATTAAGATATATTACTTCTTTATTGTTTACCATTCAATATTTTTTTTTTTAAGTTTTAATGTAGTACACTGAAATTAAGAAAAAAAATAAACTTCTGTGAAATAGAAAACAAAAAAAAATCATATGAAATAGAGCAGCAGTGAGGAGTTAAAGGTATTGGATGAGTAGTCAAAGAATAGATTGATTTGCTTACCCACTCACAGGTGTACTCTCTAACTTCTTGCCTACTTGTTGATCTGTAGACCAAGTACTTATGAACTTTCACTTCCCTCTTGTCCTAAATAGTATTATAGTATGTTGTATATGTTAATGGGAAAGGAATTCCAGTTTCCTGATTTCTCAATAATGGAGATATAGCTAACTATCTTAAAGAAACTGTAATTCAGAAACCAATACATCCAACTTTTCGTTAGTTTTTCTCCAATTTTATAAAACTTGACTTTGTTTTGTGACTTCTTTCTAAGTAAAATTTGATGAGATTCACCGGTCATTTAATTCAATGAATTTTTCTAGGCTCTTATGCGCCCTGGAAGACTAGATAGATTGATATATGTCCCTCTTCCTGATTATGAAACCCGTTGGCAGATACTGAAAATTCAGTTTGAAAAAATTCCTACTAAAGATGTTTCGATTGAGGAAATTGCAAAAAAAACTGATGGGTATTCTGGAGCTGAGGTATTTATTTTCTTTTTTTTGTTATGGATAAATTTAATGTAGTTATTTTAACATTGATAATTTTAATTTTTTTTTTATTATTCAGGTTGTTGCAGTTTGCACTGAGGCCGCTCTAGCTGCTTTGCAAGAAGAAATGAATGCTGAATACGTGCAGATGTCTCATTTTGAATCAGCTTTAGCAAGTGTTACTGCCAGAACACCACAGTCACTATTAAATTTGTACGAAGATTACAGGAAAAAACTTATCACTTGTAAATAAAATTTGGTTGTTTGTAAATAAATTCTTTAAATTATGTAACTGTATATTTTTTACATCTTATATTGGACTAATTGCCTAATAGTGTAGGTCCTTGTTTCTTATGTACCTTTTTAGTGAACTTACAAGATAGGTGGTTCTTATAAGTTCTTGTAGATATCAATATGTTTATTCTGAATTGAAATATTCTTAGCTTTTTTCGTTTAACTACATTTCCGTATTTCTTTTTTAAAAAAACCTAGAAAATTAATTTCCTTGTTTGTTTTTTTAGTACATGAAGTATTGATAATTTGAAAATTCCTACAATTGCAATTTTTTTCAATTGCAATCCCCCTAAATAAATGAAAGTAAAAATGGGATGTTTTTATAATATACAGGGTATCCCGTTAGTGTTGAGAAATTTTTATAACAGTGGTAGCAGACTTCAAGAGCTACAAAAAAATTTCATATAAACAAGGAGCAAATTTTCAGCAGAAAAAAATGTGTTCAGGTTTTTTTTTTTTTTTAAGTGTCGTGTTATTTGTTGAATTGGAAGTGATTACTAAAGAAATATTTATTTCGAATAACTTAACAACTGCTCCAAAGTAAACTAAATAAAATTTACTTCAAATGACAGTTGAGTTCATCATTGTTGAATCCATTTAAAGGGAACTATTGAGCAGAGAAACTCAGCTGTTTCCTTTAAAAAACATCATAAATTATTTGCGATTTTTATTTATCATCTCCAACTAAACATTTATCAGCAGTTAAATTTTCAGCATATGAAAAAAAAAAATTTTAACAAAGGTGCTGGACAGGTCTAAAATCCCCAAAGAGTATAAAGGAACCAGAGGTCATCAGCAGGACCAGTATCAGTGTGAGGTTGTGCAATGTAATTATTGCAACAAAAGGAAAAAGGTTGTGCAAACTGTTATGAATGCTGATGCTCCTAAGCAGTGTCCTCTAAAGATGGCACATAGACTCAACTCTTTGGGTGTGAGCATGTAGTATGGATTATTATATAACTTTATATTTCTTTTTTATGTTTTACATTTTATTCTAAGATTCCCAATGTAACACTTTTGTCACCCCTTTTTGATTATGCCTACTTCATCATTCCACACTATGTAACAGTTTTTATTATTTATCTCTTAGTTCTTAGTCATTATTCTAACAATTTCATTTTACTTTATATCTATCTATTTTATTTTTCTAATATTTTTTTTTATTCTATTTTTTCATTTTTTATTATCTTTTTTACCATCATTACTTATGTTTCTCATACCTTGTTATCTGGTTATTTTCTTAGCCCTGATGAAGGCCTGAACTTCAGGTCGAAACGTCGGCATATGTAAAAAATAAATATTATAATTTATTTTTGCCTTCCTTTTTGACTGAGCACCCCAACTATTCTTCTCTTGATTATTATTATTGTCAGATATTAGTGTAATAACAAATGATGTTGTACATTGTTGAAAAATATATGGATTGATTTATTTGGGAACTTACTCAACCTTTGTTTTTTTCTATACACAATCATTACATGCGGCGACGATGGTGAACAGGCAGAAAAAAAGAAACTTAGAACAGACAAGGGGTTGGATGAGGAAGTTAATTTTTCTGAGGCCATTGACTCATCGGGTACCATGAAAACAGGTTAACTCCATTTAAGTTTCCTCCTTATAATAATTCAGAAAAATGAGAATATTGTATAAACCGTTTTCAACTTGAGTTAGAAATTAAAAATATAAATGGTAGCGACGAAATCATAGAGGAGTCACGACGCAATTGATTGTTAAAATGTATGGGGGCAGTGTTGTATAAACTAGTATTTCCATCCTACAAAAATTACTCAATTACGTTATTCTGAAATAAAAACATTTTTAGATACATATCTAAAACCGACCACAAGTTATCTTGCAGAAAGAGTAAAATTTGGGCAAATATTCCATGACGAAAATTTGTCAATAGCATCATTTTTAATGAAATTGAGATCGGCAGCAAAAGATTACAAATTTGGAAATAATCTGGAAGAACGATTACGTGATCAATTTTTGTTAGGATTGAAAAACCTGTCGATGCTGGAGCAGCTTTTTTGCCGTCATCCAGAGGAAAACGCAAGCCTAAAAGAAATTGAAAAATCCGCTCTTATTATTGAGTTAGCCCAAGAACAAAAAAAAGTCACAGAGGAAACTCATATCTGTAGGATAGCTAAGACCGAGCAGGGAAATAAAATAATTAGAATTGTAGATCCAGCTACAGAATGTATTCTTTGCGGGTACCAGAAACATAAACATAAAGGGTAGTAAATGTCCAGCCAGCGAACACACCTGTAGACTTTGCAATTCTTATGATCATTGGGAAAGGACTTGTTTGAAATCTGGCAAAATTAAGCTAAATAAAAGAAGGGCGAAAATAAAATCAGTAAATATGGTAAGTTCAGAGAACTCTACAGATAGCGAATATGAAGTCAACACCGTACTAGACGTCAACGCGATTACTTCAGATAATTCTCGGTTTTTGGTCAAGGTTCAATTAAACGGCAAAAATATTCGAATGGAATATGACACAGCTGCTGCTCGTAGCATTGTTGGAGAATACGTATGGAAGTATATAGGAAATCTACCACTACCAAAAGACCCATAATTTAAGGGCTTATCCCAAATTCCTTATTGAATTTTTTGGGGAAATGCTCGGTGTCAGTTAAAGTAGGAAAGCAAAGTTTAAAATTGAAATTGGTCGTGATTGAAAACAAAGCCACTCCTTTATTTGGCCCAGATCGGATTAAAGCTTTCAAATTATATCCTATGTGTAAACATGTCAAGTTAAGTAATGTTAACAACTCAGAAATTTCAAAAATTTCAGACGAAAACCTCCAACAGGCTAAAAATAAGGTGTTTGAACTACACTCTGAACTTTTCCAAAACGGCATTGGAACAGTGAAGGGATTCCAAGCCAAAATTCAGCTACGCGAGGGAGTAACACCAAAACTCTTTAAAGCTCGAAGTATTCCGTTTGTTTTAAAAAGAGCAGCCGATCACGAAATAGACCGGCTTATTCACGAAGGAGCAATAGAAAAAGTGGACAATGAATAAAGACAATGGTAGAATGGGCATCACCAGTAGTTTTTGTGCCAAAAGCGGATGGGGCATTGAGGTTATGTGGTGATTTTAGAGTTACTCCTCATATGATTGTGAATCCCCACCCTTTCCCAACATTTGAAGAAATAGTTCACAAACTTAGCGGGTCCCAGAAGTTTTCCGTTATCGACCTCAAAGATGTTTATTTGCAGATAGAAATAAGCGAAAAGTCAAAAAAATATTTGGTCATTGCAACACATCGAGGATATTTCACATACAAAAGAATGCCGTTCGGTATAAGTGCGGCCCCATCAATATTTCAAGGATATATGGATAAAATTTTGTAAGGCATGGAAGGGGTAGCCTGGTTATTAGACGACATAGCCACAGGGAGAAAATCTCGAGAACATTTACATCGCATTAATCTGGTTTTAGAAAAGTTGAAATCAGTGGGGTTGAAAACTCAGCCAAAGAAAGTAAAGCTGTTTGAAAAAGAAATTAAATACCTTGGACTCAGAATCAACAGTAACGGGATTCAATCGTCTCATGAAGGGATTGCGGCTTTAAATGAAATAGCATCTCCAATGAATGTTAAAGAACTGCGATCTCTATTAGGCTCCCTAAATTGCTTTTCAAGTTTTATTCCGGATTTGCAAGGAAGATGTGCTCCTCTGCACAAATTGTTACAGAAGGGGTCAAAGTGGAAATGGGCATCGGAGGAAGAACAAATTATTTCGAGCATTGAAGAAAGTATTACTGCAGATAAAACATTGGTACATCATGACGAGACATTACCATTAATACACTACATTACAATAGTGAACAAAACTTTTCCACCACTGATCATGAATGTTTGGCAATAATGTTTGGAGTTAATAAGTTTTACGATTATTTGTTTGGGCGACATTTTACATTACAAACAGACCATAAGGCACTACTAAGAATATTTGGAAACAAAAAAAGAATTGCCAAAAATAGCAGCATCCAGATTGATAAGATATCTTACTCTGTAGCTTTAACTACACAATTGAGTACAAGACTGGCAAAGAAATGGAACCCGTGGATGCTCTTTCGAGACTTCCATTGCCGACTACAGAGGCTTCTTTTTTAGAAGTGGGAAATAATAATTGTATTAGTAAAATTAGAAAAGTCGTCCGAGAAGAATGCTCGTTATCTAAGACCATCATAAAGAATGAGCTCTGGAAAGACAAAGTGATAAATAAGGTGTTAAAGTATATAGAAAGTGGATGGCCAAATAAAAAGAAGTTGACAGACGACGAAACTCCCTTTTATGAGAAAACAGAAGACATGGGTATAGAAGAGAGTTTACTGATGTGGATGAACAGATTGGTAATTCCGAAGTTCTTAAGAGGAGTTGTGTTGAAAAAACTCCATGAAGGACACCCTGGCATAGAGGCTACTAAGTCTTTAGCAAAATTGACAGTTTAGTTGCCTAAAATTAATTCGGAAATAGAAAAGTTAATGTAAAACTGTGAGGTTTGTCAGAAAAATCGCCCAAGTGAACCAGAAACATTTTTGAACCCTTGGAACATTCCGGAAGGACCTTGGGAAAGACTCCATACAGATTTTACTTCACCATTTGAAGGACTATCCTGGTTCGTGCTTATCGATGCTTATTCTGGTTGGCTAGAAATTTTTCCAATGGAATAAGTAACAGCTAGAAAAACTATCCATATATTAAAAATACTGTACAAAAAAACATTTTTCTGAGTGAGTTAACAATCTGTGAATTACAATAACTCGGTTCTCGCAGATTATATATTTTTGGCGTTGCTATCTTTGATAGTGAGACCACTATTAACTTCCTCTGCTTGTTAAGCTTGCGCTCTTTAATACTGTTGGGGTCCATACTTATCCCTTGGGCCAAACCTCAGCGGTTACTCTCTCGAGTGAGGGCAGCGTCGCGCTGACAAGCGGACCTCCTTTCTTCCTTCATTCGTGACGGCAAACCAGAATGAGAAC